CCCCGCCCCGAGCCGCCGCCGCGCGCCGCTCACTCCGCCATGGCCGCCGCAAAGCGCCACCCGGAAGCGCCGCCGCTGCGACGCTTTGCGACAGCGCCGCCACCGCCCTCCTCTAGTCCCGCCCCTTGGCCGCCCCGCCCGGCGCCTGCTGAAGTTCCAACGGCCCCAACGGTCCCGAGCGGCTGCCAACGGCCCCAAGTGTCCCGAGCGGCCCCCCAGCGGCCCCGAGTGGCTCCCGCTAAGGAGCTGCCTCGTGTCTGACATCCATAATGTCCCCCTTGAATGAGCCGCCTGTTTTTAATGGTGTGCTCAGGGACACACGGCAGCCCGCGCCCGCCAAGCGGATGCGATGTGGCGTCGCTCGGCACCAGCGCTTTCCCGGCGTGCCTGGTGGCGGCCGGAAAGGCGCGCCGTGCCGCTCGGGCTGCACGCCTCGCACGTACTCGCGGGGACATCTGTGCTGGCAGCGGCTGCGGGGGAGCGGAGGCCGCCAGCTGCGGGGCCGCGGGCGCGCCGAGGCCTCCGCCGCCCGGGCAGGGCCGCTGGACGCGCATGGGGCGACGGCCGCGCGCGGCGCTGCGCTCACGAGCCTCAGTGTGCCAGAAAAGTGCGCTTTCATTTTGGAGAGATGTAACTCTCAACATGAGGAGGCTGTGATTTGGGAAAGGAAGTTTCCTCAAACATCCTCTTAGGGAGAGCCAGTATTTTGTACAATCTCTGCAGTTTCTGTTGGTTTCAGAAGGTGGTTTGCTGGCAGACTTGGGGTTTTGTGTTATCCAGCTGTTCATAGGATGACTCTCCGGGTGTGTTTCCAGCTGTGTATTCCTCATCCCGGGCCCAGCTGACATCTGCTTCACGAGCAGTACTACTTTGCTTTAGGCCTTGATAAGACACCTATCGGGGTGGCTCCTCACCTGGTGCCCCCCAGGCTCAGAGGTGTTTCCCTGAAATGAAACATCCACTGCAGTGGAGATAAAAAAAACAATGGCCATGGAACCAAATGTTTGTTTAAACTAGGTGCAATACTGTGAGATTTTGTTTATTTATCAAATTTAGGTATAAGGAAACAAAATGGACACATACATATCACCAGCGCTGGAGCAAACATGCAGGGACATGGAGTGTAATGCATGGGGGTAACAGCGGCTCCCTTGTCCCCCAGGGACGTGCGTGACGGGACAGGGCCGGGGAAGCAGCTTTTACTGGGGCATAATCCGCTTCTGCCTCATGTTGCCGTGCCAAGACCAGGGCGGCCGGAGCCCTCGCTGGGGGCCGCCCCGGGCCCGGGAGAAGCCGCGGGCTGCGGCCGGCGCTGAGGCCGGGGCGGCCCGGGGAGGAGCAGCCGCCGCCGCCCGCCCCCGCCGGGCGGGTCTGGTGCGTGGCAGAGGCGGCGGCAGCCCCGCAGCCTCCCGCAGCCGCCGGCTCCCTGCGGAGCGGAGCGGAGCGGAGCCTCGCGCGGGAGAGAAGCGGCCTCCATGGTGCCCCCCGCGCTGCTGCTGCTGCCGCCGCTGCTGCTGCTGCTGCCGCTGCCCGGCGCGGAGAGCGGCGGCGGCGGCGCCAGCGCCAGGCAGGAAGGTAGGAACGGGACGGGATGGAGTCCTCCGTTCGTGTCTTCATGGGAGAAGCAGCGCTTAAGAGGGGGTCTCACTTAGTGACGAATACGAGTGAAAAGCGCAGCTTTGTGTGCCCTGCTGTACTGGTTACGCTCCAGGCTTTGGGCAAGCTTGTGGGGCCCGCTTTACCCTCCAGGTTTGGCACCCTTACAGTGAGGTATGTTGGTTAGGAAAAGGAATTTGGAATTATTTTCCAGTTCAGTTGCTTCTCGTATGAGTTCAAGATACCTCTCTTCTCTCTTAAAAGTTCTTTCAGGTCTCTGCAAAAGCACTAAGTGTGGTTATTTGTACGTCAAATTAAGTTGTTACCGAAAAAACTTTGGTAAATGTGAAGTTAATGTGCAGATTATATTATGCACTGTTAAACTATGCACTGATTTTTCTCTTTGGTCCCAGTAGTAATGATATTTTCTTTAATGTTATTTAACAGGAAGCTGCACAATAATATTTCCCAAGGCACAGCCTAGGGATAAACTCATCCCTTGTTAAGAAATGCAGCTGCAACTGTGCCCTCCCTGTGGAATTGGGGCAGAAGTGAATAACTCAAAATTCATCCTGTTGCTTCATTTTACCAGTTTCTGTGTAAAAACTTTTAAGTCTGCTAAAAGGCATTTATTACTGTTCTACAGATGGAAAAGTAGAGAGCTAGCTAGGTTGGCTCCCAGCTTCAGAGCAGAACTGGAGGCCCAGACCAGCTCCCGTGGTTCTTAATCCCACAGTTACTTTGCTGAACCACACTGGGTTCAGATTCTGCTGAAACACCTTTATTAAATGTATTTCTTACATTTATGATAATCATCACGGCCCAAGGAGTCAGTGTGTCCAGGGGACCCAGCTTGAGCTACTGTTTCCACGTATAAAAAATACCAGTGATGTGGATGATTAGGAAACATAAAACTGCTTTGGGAGGTTTAAAAATACCTCCAGTCTGTTATGTCTGAAGAAAGGAGCCTGAATGTGCATTGATAGCGTGGAGGAAGACGACAATACTGAAAATGAGATGAAAAGTTTCATTTACTATGGAAGTAAAACAAATAGAAATTAGAAGCATTTGCTGCTCTGTCTTTGGAAATGCCTGTAGCTGTGCCAGTCCTCAGCAAAAACTTTTAAGGAAGAGAGAGAAGAGTTAAAGGGGAAGGAGCGAGGCAGCCCAGCTCAGCACAGCACTTCCAGTGTGTCTCCTGGGATGGAAAACTCTCGCTACTGTAGAAATTGCTCAGAGCAGCAACTGAGCTCCCTGCAAATTAGTAATGAGAAGGGAATTTTTCATGAGGAATTCTGTGTGGGGGGATTGTTGTCTCTCTGCTGGCTTTTCCATGCTCCTGAGAGTTCACATGCTGCACAGTGAGACCTTTTCTGCCTTGGAAATATGACACTGCTTCCTGTTCATCCTTGGAGCCTTTCGCTGTCTCATCTGGTCCAGTGAATTTCTGGCAGTCATATCAAACGGCGTATAAACAGTTTGTTTCTTTCTTGAGCTGGTAGCATGAAAATGAATTCCTAATTTATTTAATGTGATTCCTCAGAATTCAGGCTGAAACAGTTGCAAAGCAGCCAGGCTACAGTAATTCTTGTCTTCTATCATCTTTATCATATGCTTTCGCCCCCTTTTTCAGGTACTAGAATGTGGTGTTTGTCTTAACATTCCTCCCTCTTCACACATTTGCTCCCTTTTCACAGGCAGGATGATTTTCACCTTCATGGAAGCTGTGGGCTCAGAGCTGGCTGATCAAGCTGCCTGGTTTTCTGCATGCCACCGTATGACTAGATACTTTAATGGTTTTAGCATATGCCTTAAGGATATTCATATTTTACTGATATGTTTACACCTTGTGCCTCCAAAGGGTACAAGCAACTGGAGTGTGCAGAAGGAGCTGGATTAGGAATGCGCTTCACAGAGCTAAAAATCTGCCTCAAAATTTGCACTTGATGCAGGATTCGGATTCTTTTGTTTGTCAGTCCTTTGTCTGTCTGCAAGAATATCTAACAAAATACAGTTGAAGCTGGCCTTTTACTGACTGTTGTCAAGGCCTCCTCTTTGTTCTGATGGAGAAAAGGATTTGTCCTTGGGAATATTTTATTTCTTAAACTTTAGTCCTAGTTTTTGTAAGACTAAAGTTTACTTTCTTAATGTTTTTTGGCAGCCTTGTCAGATCTAGCTAGGATTCCACCTCCTAGATTCTGCCCATCTGAGGTACTGGACTCACCGTGCCCTGAATATCAGTCTAGGCACACTAGGAAGATACATCTGGAACATCTATTGAAAATTTAATTGTTCCAAGAGGAGCTGCTCAAGCCAAGAGAATGTACTTTCAGTTATTCCTGGTATTTTCCGATGTCAAAATTGGATGGCAAGATTCATATTTAAATACACTATTGCCAGAGCCTATACAAATTCTTACTGAAATAAAGGTGTTAAGATGAAGCAGAGCTTTTAATCGCTCCAAAAAGAAACCAGGACCTCTGCAGAATATTCATATTCCAGTGGTATCCTGGAGAAACTTCTGAAAGAAAACTTCAAGATTTTGCCATGTCATTTTTAAGGGACAAGTTTGGGAACTCAATGAAAGGGATGGCAGAATTAAATTCACATTGTGTATGCATGGAAAAACACTTGTAGAACACAGTAGAAAATTGGAGCGACCATGGAGGGGGAATGACAGCCAAATTTTGGTCTTTACACGTAGTCAATGCTGAGTGCAACTTTGTGGACAACAGGGAGCCAATTGCACTAAATGTGTGACTCTGAAATGGTCTTTTTTTCTTAGTGCTCCTTTATTTTTATCTTCAAGTTTAATTTCCTTCAAACCGAAGAATCATACCTCACATTAGTGGGATTTAAAAAAAAAATTGTAAATTATATTTTCTTCTTCCAGCTCATATCTCAATTAATTCTCATATTTTCCCCCATTTTATACCCAGGACCAAGTTCTAATCTTTGCTGTTCAAGTACAAAGCAAAGGAGCAGCCTTCACTGCACTGCAGTTAGTTTGGGGCTCTACAGTCAGTGAAAGTTCGGGCCACCGTTGTGATACGCTGTCCCATATGGTAGTTACCCTAGAGGAAAAAACACTGTCTCTACTTCCATGCTGGCTTTTGTTTGCTTGTTTTTCTCCATAGGTGTTACCAGTAATATAGGCAGCAAAAAATGGGATTTGAAGTTAATTTTATTCCTGATTGGCATTTGTCAGTGAGAGTACCTACAGTGCTTAAGACTGTACAGTGTAGAGAGGACTGGGTGAGCTTTAAGCTAGTGTCTGCTTCTCAGGAGAATGTGGTTGCTCCTGGGATTGGCTGCCTTGTTTGCCTGACATAATAAACCTGGGCAGCATTTGATGTTATGTAGAGCAGACATAACCTCTGAGTGGGAACAGCAGTGGATTGTAAGTGAAAGTCAGAGCTCTTCGGTTCTGTTCCGGACTTCCTGACTAACGTGAAGTGTTGTATTGGGAAGTTCGCTTCTTGGTGGTTGAGTTTTACTCGTAATGACCTCCCTTTAAGAACAACTGTTTCTGCTTTGGTTCAGTGTCTGCTAGTAAAGCCTCTTTGTTACAATCAAGCAGATGGATTTTATGTCTCCTGTGCTTTCTCCTACAAGCAGAAAACCTGCTCGTCCTTACTGTTGCCACCAAGCAAACTGAGGGCTTCAGACGTTTCAGAAGATCAGCCCAGTTCTTCAACTACAAAGTCCAGGTGATGACCAATGGCCTCAGGAGGAGCTGGTGAAAGGGAATTTTGAAATGGACACCCTTGAGTATACAATGAGTAAGACTTGGCCTCAAAGAATTAAACAAAAGCCCAAGAGAGGACATGCTTCTTCAGCTGTATGAGAGATACTGTGGCAGCTGGCATTTCTGCTGCAGTCCTTCTTATGCCATCCCCAATAGTGGCTTGTGATGAGATTCATGACTCCAGCTCAGAGGAGCCCCAAGACACATTCCCATTGCAGTATTGAAACATAATGGTGCAGAGTGAGAAGCTCCTGTCACTATTCACTGACTAGCACATATAGCCAGTGCCTCCATCCTGAATTGTTTTCTGTTGTTGTATTTTGCCTTGGGAATAATCCGGACTGTAAGTTCTGGTCCATCAGGACTGTAAGTTCTGGTCCCCTTCTTCAAGTGGGTCTTGCTGGGATAGTGACCTATTCAGTAGAGGTTTTGCCTGTCTCCTTCAGGTGCTGGGATTGGATGAGAAATGGCAGGGTGGAGATGATAAGACACCAGCAGGAGGTGGTCAGAAGGTCCGTCTCTTGAAATCAGCTTTAAAGGAGTATGCAGACAAGGAAGACTTAATCATCCTTTTCGTAGAAAGGTAATGTGTTGGAAAGGATTTGCCATGAACTTAATTACAAGGCACTGAACAGGTTTCTACTAAGAAGAAACTGTGAAATTGGTTGCTTGTGGAAGAGGTGACCAGATCCCTTCTAATTTTCCCCCCTGAATTCTCTGTAGTCTTTTGAGTCTCAGTGTGAGCTGCATCCGTGGCAGCTGGAAAGATCTAACATCAATGGGCGGATTCCAACTCTTGTATAAATTTGATGGCATTATACCTGTTTCTGCCACGGTGGAATTTGGCTGCGTCTGTCTCTAAAGAACGGAGAGAAAAATTCTGCAGGCCTTTCTCAGTGGAATTATTTGTGAGGCAGACTGCAACACATTTAGTTAGCCAGAGAAAGTTGCTTTGAAGAATAGAATTCTCTTGCAGAGAATGCAGATCTTATTCTGGGAGCACTGGAAATCAGTCAGTTCTGCTCAGTACTGGGGAGACTGACTCAAATCTAATATCCAGAGGCTGCTGTCCAACATAGCTCCCCACCATAGAGAGCTCTGTGGAGAGTGACAAGATGCCAAAAAATGTGAAAAGCAGTCTCTTTTTCAGATTGGAAGACTTTGTTTCATTATTGGTGAAAATTTTCTAAAAGTAGGAATGGTTGTGCATGGGAGTAGGCTGTGTCAAGACATTATGGAATCTCCAGCAGTGGAAGGGCTTAAAAATGTTTAAAGTAACTTCCTTTGGGGCAATATAAACCTGTTAGGTCTTGCTTTTAGGCAGTCACTGGACTCTCTGGATTCTTGAAATCCATCTGTGTTTCCGGTTGCTTTCTAGGTATCTTTCACTCTGAGTAAGATAACATTCTAGTTAATTTTAAGTGGGACAAGAACATAATATTGTGAAGCAGAACTAAGAAGAGATTCTAAATGTTTTCCCTGTTTCTGGTTGCTTTTCTCATTGACCTGCTTTTCTGACTCCACTCCTTGCTGTCCTTTTTTTGTCCTTTACTGTAGCTATGATGTGCTCTTTGCATCAGGCCCTGCGGAGCTACTGAAGAAGTTCAAACAAGCCAAGAGCAAAGTTGTTTTTTCAGCAGAGAATTACATCTATCCTGACAGAAAGTTGGAAGCCAAGTACCCTCAGGTGCGAGATGGAAAGCGCTTCCTGGGCTCTGGAGGTAAGAGAGACCAACTATGTTCCTGTCTTTTTCTTCCTCCAAGAAGGGACATGGCTCTGATTCACGTCTAGAGGATAAGAACCTGCTACATCTTTGCAGTGAGACTGATTTTTTTCAGGGGATGTTTTCTGATGCTGAAAATTAAGGGTTCTATCCCAGTGTCATTTCATGCTGGGAAGGGGGGTTTATAGATGCATTTATTTTGTGTGGAAGAAGTGAGTATGTGAATGTAGCAGTAATTTCTTTTTTTTACTGTATATGGATTGAAATACTGTGTTTCTCTTCATCCTTATTCCTTCAGGCTTCATTGGCTATGCTCCAAACCTGAACAAACTTGTGGAAGGGTGGAAGGGAGAAGATGATGACAGTGACCAACTCTTTTATACAACTATCTTTTTGGATCCAGAAAAACGGGTGAGTGTACCTGAATTTTGAGAATTTGAGAAGCATTGCAGGTGAGCCATTTCCATGCAGCATTCCTGCTGACAGTGAAGTAAGTAAACCATGAAAATGCTGCATTGTAATGATATGAAAGGGGTCACTAGTATGTCCCAGTATCCTTTTCCTTTTTGCAAATTTGCATGCTAGCAACCACATCTTGTGGGACCTCTGGAGATCAGCTAGTCTAGCTCTCCTGCTCCAGCAGGGACACCTGGAGCACATGGCACTCAGTCGCATCCTGGTGAGTTTGGAAGATCTCCAGAGAAGGAGACCCACAACCTCCCTGGGAACCTGGTCCAGGGCTCTGTCACCCTCACAGCAGAGAAGTTCTTCCTCATACAGAGATGGAACTTCCCGTGTTTCAACTTGTACCCATTGCCCCTTGTCTTGTCACTGGCCACCACTGAGAAGAGTTTCATTCCATCCTCCCTACATTCTCCCCTCAGGTTCTTATGCAGATTGATCAGATGTCCCTTCGGTTTTCTCCTCTGCAGGCTAAGCAGGCCCAGTTGGCTTAGTCTTTCCTCATACGAGAGATGTTCCAGTCCCTTAATCATCTTTGTTGCTCTCCACTGGCCCTCTCTAGAAGCTCCACGTCCCTCTTGTCCTGGGGAGCCCAGACCTGCCCCCAGTGCTCCAGGAGCGACCTCTCCAGAGCTGAGTAGAGGGGCAGGATCCCCTCCCTCGCCCTGCTGGCAACATCCTCCTGATGCAGCCAGGATCCCATTGGCTTTCTTGGCCACAAGGGCACACTGCTGACTCATGGATAACTTATTATCAACCAACACTCCTAGATCCCTTTCCGTGGAGCTGTTTTCCAGCAGGTCAACCCCTAATCTGTGCTGGTGCCTGGGGTTATTCCTCCCCAGGTGCAGGACCCTGCACTTGTCCTTGTTGAACCTCATGAGGTTCCTCCCTGCCGAACTCTCCAGCCTGTCCAGGTTCCTCTGAATGGCAGCAAAGCCCTCTGGAGTGTCAGCCACTCCAGCCAGTTTAGTATTATCCACAAACTTGCTCAGGCTGCACTCTGTCCCCTCATCCAGCCTATATAGCATCTCCCATAACTTAGCCTGGAATACTGAACCCAGGAATGGACGCCAGGAGTATCATGTGTTCCAACACCACGTGTTGTACTGGAGTACACATTAATCCAGCCCACAGCATGATTCCACTTCCGTTGTCCCTGCCCAGTTCTGTGTAACACAGCAGAGGCTGTTTGCGAGGGGTGCCAGAAATGCTTGAGGACTAAGTGGTGAAACTGTAACAGTAAACTCGGCCCAATTGTTAAAAATAGTAAAGGGCCTTCCGCTTGGTTGGAAAAGGAGTTGGATTCTTTTTACCACCCCAAGTCTGAATGTGGCCTGTGATGTTTTAGTATGAACAGCTCCTTTAATATTCTCATCTACAGCTCTGGCCCAATGCCACCGAAGGCTGAGTAATTCCACTGCCTTGGCATTCAGACACCGGATGTTTGCACCCTGCCGCCCTTTCCAGAAATCAATCTCAGTAGGTGCCTGGAGGGACACTGAACATCACACTTACACTTACATCACACTTAGTTTTGGTGTGACAGAAATCCCTTCAGAGAGTGACCTGCAGTAGGAGATGAAAATAGAAACTGCTCAAGCCGGTCTTACACCTACACCGTGTTCTGATTTGACAGTGGCACCTGGGGCAATATCTGGGATAGCCCTAGCCCGGGGGATAGATGCAAAAAGCTGCCTTCACAGCACATATTTTTGCTGCCTTGGCATTCCTGCGCATTACACACGAGTTTTATATGACTGTGGAGCAAGTGTGCTTCGTTAATATGCTGCGTATTTCTCCATTATTAGGATTCCCAGAGCAGTTTTAAAGTGTTTATTTACATGTTTGTGCCTGATGTATTTAAGCTATTTAAGGACTGGTGAATTGTTTCAAATTCAAATGAAAATGAGGATTAGCTGGAAGTGTTTTTAGTTTTTAGGGCTTGGAGAATATGAAAATATGTGTTATATCTTTACCTAACATGAAGTCTGTCACATATAAAGAATGGATGCTTGCTTGTATTCTAATTAAAATTTATCTCACTTTTCTAAAGGAAAGTATCAACATCAGTTTAGACCACAGAAGCCGAATCTTCCAGAACCTGAATGGAGCTTTAGGTGAGATGGAAGAGAGGCTCATTTCTTCTTGGAATGCAACTGAATGCTCATACCAGAAATACAACTGTGATGTGGCTGAAGGAATTAAATTCCAGAAATTCCTGTCCCTGAAGAAAAAGCCCCAGTAAAAGTCTGTGCCAGTGTCCTAGGATTTATTTGCAATTTTACTGTGACTAACTGGGTTCTAACTGTGGTTCCTTTCCCATTCAGGGGAATGCAGGTCAGGTTTTCCCTCTTACACTTCCTTGCCACTTTGATCTCCGAGCATGTCGCATTGCATTAGCTTTGGAGATTGAAACTGGGAGGGACTTCCCTGCAAGTAATAACACACAACCCTGCCTCCGGCTTGCTTCGCTTCACAACAGTGTCTGGAATGACATGGAAAGTGAGATGCAGCCAGACACTGCCTGCGAGTATTCGCTGACCCACACCAAGCTTCTGACCAGCTAATTACTCTAGTTTGGCCAATGTGACCCACCTCTTCTTCTGGGACTACTGCCTCATGTTTTCAATATACTGTCTTGCTTCAACCCGTATTTATTTAATCATATAAAAAATGGTAAGACAATATAGTTTTTGAGTCTTATGATCATTACCAGGATGGAAGACTGGAGTTTAAACCTGAACTAGACTACAATTCTGAATATTTTTTTATTATTATTATTCCTGAATACAGGCCGTGGTCCTCAGACTCCTTGTATATATGGCTTTCCATGTCCATGCTTTCATCTGCTAGCAAGTGTTGGTAGAAACATGGCTTGTGTTTCTAATCACTAATAAAAGCCACCTGTTAACAAGATGGCAATGTGTTTTCCAGATGAGGTGGTTCTGAAGTTTGAAAATGCACGAGTGAGAGCAAGAAACTTGCTATATGACACACTGCCTGTGGTAATTCATGGAAATGGACCCACCAAGGTAAGCAGGAGCCTTGAGAGAAAGGTTTGGTATGAGTTTGTTGCAAAGTGATCCTTTTTGCTTGAGTGTATCAATCTGTTACCCTCCTGCATCCTGAGTTTTCCTGTATCCATGGTCCAGTCCATAGCAGCAAGATGGATTTGGTTCAAAGATCCATAGATGTGCTTAGACTCGAGGGCTGTCCTACTTTTCAAAGTCTTTAGTCAAGGAAGAAGGTAAATGAAATTCTAAGGGAGTCTGATCTCACTCCAGGGGATGGAGGCAAAAAAACTCCTTCTGCCCTGTATGTGGAATATGGCATATTTGTTTTTGCAGCTGCAGCTAAACTACCTGGGAAACTACATTCCTCAAATATGGACATTTGAGACCGGTTGCACTGTATGTGATGAAGGCCTGCGAAGCCTTACAGGGTTTAAGGTAAGGCTGTTGTCTATCCCAAGCACTAGAAAAAGATCTTATAATAGGATGTTGTGTTTTTGATGACCTAGAAGAGCCACTACCTCTCTCTGCTCTTCACTAAATGTAGGATCATGCGATGCCACTGATTCTGATTGGCATTTTCATTGAGCAACCCACTCCATTCCTCTCCCAGTTCTTCTTGCGGCTTCGTAACCTCCATTATCCAAAACAAAGGATCCAGCTCTTCATTCACAACCATGTAAGTAAAGTTGGTTAGTGACAGTCTTCCCAAATGCTGGGAAAACATTTACCTCCCCATCCTCTTTGCAACCTTGAACCAGACTTCTAGGCTCTGTAACTACAGTACTATCTGCAAGCACACCTAGAAAATCCAGCAGTAAAGATGTTGAGGTGGAAAGACCTATTACTCACCTGATTTGACACCCTCAAGAGCAAAAGACTGAGCAGCCTGGGATGAGCTCATGTCACCTGTTTAGTTAGTTTGTTTTTAATTCTCCTTTTGGCATAGGAACAGCATCATTTGACAGAAGTGGACTCATTTATTGAGAAGCACGGCAAAGAATATCTTGCCATCAAAGTAATTGGGCCGGATGATGAGGTGGAGAATGCTGAAGCACGTAACTTGGGCATGTAAGTGAAGGGGCCAAACTTGAGAGCTACTGGAGTCAGATTGAGTCCAGGCTTAACAAGTCTGTTAAGATAATGTTTCTTGTCTTTTAGTCAGGTTGTAATAGAGTAGCTTGCTGTAATCAGGAGGGAGAAGTATGAACTGAGGTCTGGATTTGAGCCAAGTGTAAATGGGTACCTGCTGTTACTCATTTGTACTGGAAAACAAAGTTGGCTAAATGTGGTGTTGGCTACCTCTTTGTGTGTGCTGTTGGCTACTGAAACTGATACCCTCTGGGTTTTCACCTGACTTTTTTTTTTCTCTCTTGCCATAGGGATTTGTGCAGAAAGGATCCTGACTGTGACTATTACTTTAGTTTGGATGCTGACATAGTTCTGAAGAACACGGAGACTCTAAGGATCCTGATTGAACAGAACAAGTGAGTTCTTTGGCCTGTCTAATCCTTCCTGGGCGTGTTTCACGTTTGGAATTTATTACTGTGAGATGTGTAAGGTGATCTCTTCTGGGGATGGAATGTTCAACAAATGCCTCTTATTTGGTCTCTTATTTTCACAGTAGTGGCCAAACCCTGAATTTTAGGCAATGAATGTAAATCATGCCTAGCTTTGCATTTGTGTAGTGGCTAGAACAAATCAGATTCTAGGAGATAATGCTGCTGGATGCAGTTACATATGACAATGTGATGGTATTTGCCTTTGCTTAAGTGGAATTCTACTACCAAAGTTAGTAGAAACAGCACCTATGAGAGGGAGAGTCTGACTCTTACAGTTCTGTAGTTTGTAAATCTTTTATTTTTCTTCCTGTGGTAACATCCTGTCTTACCATTTCATTTTCTTTTCTGCTTACAGGCTGGTGATTGCCCCACTGGTAAGTCGGCATGAGAAGTTGTGGTCAAATTTCTGGGCAGCTCTGAGTCCTGATGGGTACTATGCACGCTCGGAAGATTATGTGGATATTGTTCAAAGGCGGAGGGTGTGAGTATACAAAGATAGTTTCTTTCTGATATAATCCCTTAAATATAAAGCTTGCTGATGCGTATTATCATCAAACACAACTGTATTCTCAATTAGAACCTGCTGTGTGTGCTCCTCTTTACAGAGACCATAAGCACTTCAGGCAGACTTCCTTACAATCAGAGAAAGGATTTGAGACTTCTGACAACTCAAATTGCTTCATTTTATTCATGTCGTGTTTTTCCAACTGCATATGTTAGTGCAATTCTTAAAATCACTTAAGAGCTTGCAAACCTTTATCAGATAGCCTTCATAAAACAGTATGTGATCCTTGGATGAAAGATTCACAAAACAGTGTTTCATTTGTATTCTTGAGGATCCCCTTTTTTTAGGTCAGTGCATGCACAATGAATGCTGGAAATCAGCTTATGCACTTTTGGCTGGTTTAGTTACTTTAAATCATTAGGAAAGAAATATGTTGATCTTTCTGGGAAGAGGCTCAAGCCATTAATTATATCCCTAAAAGAAACACACAGTAGCAATTAATTGATTTCTCAGCAGATTAGGTTTTATGCTGTTTAAAAGCTCTGGCAATATACCTGATTTTTCCTGGAATGACAGTTCTTGTTGATGTGGTTTCTCCCTACTGATCTGAGTTGGCTCATGTTGAGTAGCCTGCCTGATACTGCAGTGCTGCTTGCCATCCCATTGAGTCTTGCAGTTTCTTTCTTACTGTTATATCATGTCTTAGTTCTCATCTCCTTTGTTTCAGTGGGCTTTGGAATGTTCCCTATATAAGTGGAGTTTACATGGTTAAAGCCACTGCCCTGCGATCACAGCTTGACCAGAGAGATATCTTCCGCAGTGGAAAACTGGATGCTGACATGGCTTTCTGCCATAATGTTCGGAATCAGGTCAATTGAGGAGAGAAGCTCGCGCGGGAGAACTGCATTGCATGGTGGAGGTGACAAGATAAAGTGGTCTCAAGGCAGTCACCTCTGCCAGGCCATGGGGCAGGATGAATTGGCATTACTTGATTCTATACTGTATTGGAATCGTATGGGATTTCTTTCTCACTGGAAACCACCCAGAGCCAGGAGCCATTAAATGCAAATCACATATTTGTTCTTGGACCTATTCAAATCTGTCCTAAATGTCCTGAAATGTCCTGAATTTTTCAGAGAAAAAGGAAAAAAACTCATCTTAGGGCAGCTATTCTACTCTGGTTCCATCCCTGCCTGATGACAGGCACAGGACTGGTGGTTCTGGCTGTAACCTTTCAGAGTTACTCATATCCAGGGTAAGAATTAAAGCGAAGGCCCACAGGAGAATGAGTAGATAAACAGCTTAGAGGCATCAGCACAGCAGTGCTTAAGTCCCATGCTTATATTTCATATTGACTCACAGGAATGTGAGGCCTTGAAACACAGCTTGATTGTTTCCCTTTGTCCTTCAGGGAGTCTTCATGTACCTGACAAATCGGCATCAGTTTGGACACATCCTCTCTCTGGAGAATTATCAGACAACTCATCTCCACAATGACCTCTGGCAAATATTCAGCAATCCTGAGGTGAGATAACTGGCATGCTCAGCAGGCCAGGTAGTGTGGGCTGTGAAGACCTCATGATCACCTTCACTGAGGTCCAGAGTTTGTTGTATGATGTCTCTCAGATGGGATGAGGAGAACGGAATTTAAAGGGAGAGCATTTGTGATTCATAATTAAATCTTTGGATCTCCAAAGCCTGTGAAATACTGCTGCTTTCACTGCCTCTTTAAGCAGGCTGTACAAAATGACTAGTTTGCTTATCTTTTAACTGCAGGATTGGAGAGAAAAATACATCCACGAAAACTACACTGCAGCTCTGAAAGGGAAATTGGTAGAAGTGGTAAGAAAACATTGTTTTTATGTATCAGAATAGGAGATTAGCATGAGGATAATGCTTGTATTATCACTATTATCATTCTCAGAAGTAACGAGCTAGTCAGTGCCTCAAAGTCTTTGAGGCATTGCAGATCTTGATCTCTTCAGCAGGATACATGAATCAGAAGGCAAATTTCTGTGAATATTTCAGTTACTTTAGTTGCTTACCACTTAATCTGACACTGTTTACCAGCTGTCACTTGCCCTGGCTTCTACCATTCTCAGTACTTTTTTTTTCCAGCCCTGCCCAGATGTTTACTGGTTCCCCATATTCACTGAGGCTGCATGTGATGAGCTGGTGGAAGAAATGGAACATTATGGCCAGTGGTCCACAGGTGATAATACGGTAAGAAAAAGCAGGAGCTTCTTCATTTCTAGGTCACACCATTTTCTATGAATATTTGTGACAATAGTGTCCCCTCTAGGATGACATTGGAGCCAGTGGTTAAACTGGGAAACCAGATGCAATAGTCCTAATTTTGCTCCAGATTAACTCTAATTTTACACACATTCTTGTATGTGTTTTTCTTCTGAGTCCCAAAGCTACAATTTTCATCCTTCTGATGGTAATATTGGCTAATTTGTGGGTTGAATTAATCTTTAGAATGAGTTTTCAATCCTGAAAATACTGATGAATAAACCTTATATTATAAATAATTACCAGAAGCATTTACTTTTCATATTTGAAGTGCCTGTCCTCACAGATACTTTGATGATTTGATTTCAGGACAGCAGGATACAAGGGGGATATGAAAATGTCCCAACTATTGACATCCACATGAATCAAATTGGCTTTGAAAGAGAGTGGTATAAGTTTCTTCTGGACTATATTGCACCCATCACAGAGAAAATGTATCCAGGATACTACACCAAGGTAGGTATAGCTTGACCCAGTATAAGGGAATGGCCCTGAGGTTCCTCTATTGATACTCTTTCCGAATATGGAGGAACTGAACCTGAGGTATGACATCAGTATATGTCATCAGTCTCTGTGCATGATTTTGTGAGAACATTCTCCAGATTTTACTGTGTATCTTCTCTTTTAGCAGTGGAATACAACTTAAATGTTACACCATGCCTGGAGCCCGGTAGCTATGGAACACTGTAGCCCTGTAATGTGTATTTTGTTCTTCTTCTCTGCAGACTCAGTTTGAGCTGGCTTTTGTAGTTCGCTACAAACCTGATGAGCAGCCCTCTCTAGTGCCTCATCATGATGCTTCCACCTTTACCATTAACATTGCTCTGAACCGAGTTGGAATAGACTATGAGGTGAGTGTTTGTGGGAATGTCAAGAGCTAGACTGTGCAACATCAGCCTTCTGGGAAACCCTTCCCTTATCCGTATCTGGGCTCTTCACACCAAGGAATGCAAGTGATTGGGTGAAGACAGCAGATCTTTGAGGAAAGACTAAGCGAGGTGGGCCTATTTAGCCTGGAGAAGAGAAGACTGAGAGGGGACATCTGATCAATATGTATAAGTACCTGAGGGGAGAATGTAGGGAGAATGGAATGAAACTCTTCTCAGTGGTGGCCGGTGACAAGACAAGGGGCAATGGGCACAAGTTGAAACACGGGAAGTTCCATCTCTGTATGAGGAAGAACTTTTTTGCTGTGAGGGTGACAGAGCCCTGGAACAGGCTGCCCAGGGAGGTTGTGGAGTTTCCTTCTCTGGAGATCTTCCAAACCCACCAGGATGCAACTGAGTGCCATGGGCTCCAGGTGTCCCTGCTAGAGCAGGGGGCTTGGACTAGCTGATCTCCAGAGGTCCCTTCCAACCTTTCAACCATTCTGTGATTCTGTGAACACCTGTAGCATGGGATTCCTCAAATACCTTCCCACACTTCCAGAAGGGCCTTCAGGAAAAGGCAGACATCCTTTCCCTGATGTGCTTTTGCTAAGCCAACACCTCTCTTGTTCCTCTCAGGGAGGAGGCTGCCGATTCCTGCGCTACAATTGCTCCATTCGAGCTCCGCGGAAAGGCTGGACCCTCATGCATCCAGGACGCCTGACCCACTATCATGAAGGCCTTCCAACCACCAAAGGGACCCGTTACATCGCAGTGTCCTTTATTGACCCCTAGAGCCATGCTTCACAAGAAGGATCTTTCCCTGGCCCCACTCACTGCTGACTTTGAGTGGAAAAAGGGAATGCTGCTGAGAGTCTCCAAGACATTGATCAAAGCTATTTGGATATTGATTTTTTTTAAATAATATTTTAAGACTCCACTACTGGAAGATCTCCCTCTCTGATACTGCAGGTAATATCTAGAAACGTTGCTGTAGAAGTTGGAAGGAGATTTTGTGCCTTCGTTTCTGATTTTGCTCCTCATCCACCGTTTCTTGGACACTTGCAATTTACTTGAAACTTCACTGCTCGGTTGGCTTTACAGAAATGCCTTCTTGGACTGGAAATCCATGCCTTTTTGGAGGCATGTCACAAGCTCTCTCTCCAAGCAGCTGGAAGCGCATTTCCATCCGCTGCATACACAGGAATGGACAGTATAGAATAACTTCTGGACACTATTCCAAATATCAAATCAATCAGGGAGCTGGCTCCAGGAGTCATAACTCCTGTAACAGTTAAATGTAATACTAGGTGAAACTCAGTAGTAAGAGTCTGAAGTTCATCTAATTTCTTACCTCTTTGCATTCATTGGAAATGTACCATGAAGTTCGAAGTAGCAGCAGTGGTAATCTAGGTGCTTTGTGTTAGCTAAAGAAAAGTAGGCTTATTATACTTTACCTCTGGAATTAAGCTGATGAGAGGGAAAAAAAATGGACTACCTGTCATTCCCTGTGAGACAGGAGCATGTATACCCAGACAAAATCAGTTCAGGTCAGTATGTATACATAAAATCTAAGAAAGGGAAGGCTGAGAACAACTAGATCTGCCAGGAAGGCTTTACTGCAGAATCTGCTCAGCTCTATCCCATGTTAAGTTTGTCAGAAGCTCTATTTATCTGATAACAATCTGGAGACCCCAGTGGTTTTGATGACTTCATTCCAGTTTTTAGTGATTGTTCTGATAATTTTCTTTGCATGTAACTTGAGTGAGCCATCACTGCGAAACAACTTAGATTGATTTTTCAGTATTCCCATTATTTGAAATTCCCAAAGAAACTACCTGCTGTCGACGCCTGTAGTGGGGTGATGCTGATAGCAGTGTGTGATTAGAAGGTGCCCTGTGTGTGGCGTGACTAGAGTAGAGCCATGGATTACGCATCTTGGAGGGGGAATGGGGAAACTTTCGGTGCCATTGCGCAAGCTCTGCTTATTAGAAACTTCCTTTTTCTGAGTCTGCCAGATTTGTGCATTGCAGAAGCAGTGAATCAGTCTGAGAAAATGTTCTCAGAAAATCAGTTTTTCTCATCCTCCATTTCCATACTTCACCATCTAATTCAAGTGTCAGGTGCAGACACTTCAACAGACACATTAAGATAGAGCTGCTCCTGTCTTGAGATGTTATGTTTGAATAGGGCATCTTGCACTTTGAAGGGACCCCAAGAAAGTGCCGTAGACCCTTTTCTGCTGCTTCCCACGTGCTTTTTTTTAGCGCTGTTTGAATGCTACACACTCATGCACACCAAAGGGAGAAAAATCCAGGCAGGGACAATGTTTGAAAGACACAAAACATAGTTAACAATTCTCGTTACTGTGGTCCTGCTTGCGTGACTCTCATGCTGTTACCAAAGAAAGGGGCTTCACAGGCCCATTATGGAGAAGGCATTAAAAAGGTGTATGTATTCTGTGTATTTTTCAGCTTATTTTGTTGCCTTTTTTTCTTCTTCTTTACTCAATACCATGATTGGAGGCAGTGGGAGCTCCCCCGCGCCCTGGTGCTCATGCGCGATGTACACTTTCAGCCAGGCCATTTGTATTTAATCTTGACCCTAGCCTGGTGGCCGCAGTGATGCCATTGCTGGGGTGGCCACGCGCCATTTTCTCTCCCGCCCGCGCGGCATACAACTCCCGTGAGCCCTCGCGCGCGCTGGGAGGGAGGGAGAGAGAAAGGGCGGGGAAGGAGGTGTCCTCAGCCTACAACTCCCATGAGCCCCCGCGGTCGCTAGTTGATGACGTCTGCGCCCCTCGTGAGGATGCGGCGGGGGTAAGATGGCGGTGTCGCTGGAGAGACGGTGAAGGTGAGAGGCGGGGCGGTGGCTGGCAGGAGGGCAGGGGACGGCATGGGTCGGGTGTCAGCGGCTGAAGCTGCTTGGGCGCACGGCGCTGCTCTGTGCGGACGGGATACGCCAGGGAAAGGCGGCGAGGTGCTGCCTCCCTTCAGAGGTGCGCGGAACGGCGTGAGGCGAGAGGAGGGCGCGCGCTTCCCGCCCGGCCTGCGAGGCCTGGGGAGATGGAGGTGGCTGGAGCCAGGGCGCTTGGACACCCCCGGCGCCTCATTCCTTGTCGCTTCTGCTGCAGGTCCGGGCTGGAGCCGGCGCCGCGGGAGGAGCGGCGGAACGGGGAGCGGCAGGAGAGGAATCGCTCACCGCAAGGCAGGCTCGTGCTGCCATGTCCCGCCTGTGAAAGCGTAACCGCCACCCGCAAAGTAAGCGGGCGGCTGGGTCAGTGCTGTGGGCTGCGGCCCTGTCCATGGAAAGAGAGAAGGGCAGATAATTTTTTTTTTCCTGTCGTTTGAATAATTTCTAATTGGAGAAAATCTGATAAATTATTTGTAAAAGACAGATAACTATTAAAAGTAAATATTTGTCTATATCTTGGTAGTTGTCTGCATTTGTCTTTAAATGGAGATTTACTTAAATAGCAGTTAGTGCTTGACAAGGCACCTTTACTACTGCTGTTTTCCTCTGTAGCGCAATGTCCCTGCTGTTTACCAGTTCCAAGTCAATTGTTGCAGTGAAGAAGGATAAAAGACACATGGCTGAGGTAAACGCTTCTCCGCTTAAACACTTTGTCACTGCAAAGAAGAAAATCAATGGTATCTTTGAACAGTTGGCTGCATACATCAATGAGAGCTCCTCATTCCTGGAAGGTAAGCTATATTCTTGAACCACAGTCTGTGAGAGAGCTTTGCCTGGTTCAATAAACACACGCCCAAAAAAAGATTCATTCATTTAAACAGCATTAGACCTGTTCTTATTTTCCCGTGCTACATTTGTAATTTAGATAACAATATTTGGTATGAAGGAGAGAAAATCATTTTATTGAGTGAAGCTCAGGCTTTATGTTTTGAAGGTGGTTTAAGTTTAAGCCCATTATTGCAGTGCATATAAAGATGTTAGTAATAGGTTCTTTTAATGGTGTTTTGGACTTTTTAAGTGGAAAATGCCAAGTTCTTTAGATCTTGTATTCTATAGTCCTTTGAGGGTCACTACTAGTGGCAGGTGATGTGTTTCAATAATTGGCTTTAGCAGCTTAAGACTTAGCAGGTTATTAAAGATGCTGGAGTGTTTGAAATGTTACCTTCCTTCTGTTTAAGGTAGTCTTAACCATGAGAATCCCTACTAGGAATACAAGAGATTCTAGTTGATAAACGTTGATGCAGGTTGCTTCAGGGCATAATTGCATGTTTCGGGGCTCCCTAAGAAGCTATTTTGTTACATGTGTTAAATCATGCAGAGGTGTTTTGCCAGATACTAGTGCGATTACTTCTGGAGCTCTGAAGCGTGGTTTTATTTTAATTTCTTAGAAACACACAGGAATGTGGAGCTTGACCCTGTCACCACGGAAGAGCAGGTACTGGAAGTCAAAGGTTACCTTTCAAAAGTCAGTGGCATTAGCGAAGTGCTGGCAAGGCGACACATGAAAGTGGCTTTTTTTGGAAGGTGAGTCACGTGTTCATTTTGCCTCTGCTACTCTACTCAGTCAAGCAACTGCCATCCTTAGGATTGCAGCCAATAAAAGTATTTATGGAAACATAAGTGATCCAGCTTCCTAAATGCATCGTGTGGCAGAAATCCCTGGTCCTACTCCTGTTGTAAATTGAAAATAAATATTATAGAATGTAACAGTCTTCATTTGGAGAGTTATTAAGAAAATGGAGTGGTCTTTTTGCAAGTTGCCTATATCAACTAATTTGTAATACTGTTGGAACTGCTTAGATTTTGAGAACTTGTTGTCTCTGATATCAAAACAAGTCTATCCAAATCTCAGAAGTTCAGCTGTACCTTTCTTTATTTTGCCATCAGGACAAGCAATGGAAAAAGCACTGTGATAAATGCCATGCTTTGGGACAAAGTCCTCCCTTCAGGGATTGGGCATACCACCAATTGCTTCCTGCGCGTAGAAGGAACAGACGGGCATGAAGCTTTCCTGCTTACTGAAGGCTCAGAGGAGAAGAAAAGTGTTAAGGTGTGCTTGGAAGTGATCCAAAGCTAGAAACTTCTGATAGGGAGGTAATTATCCTAACAGGTTTTAGCATACAGGAAATGTTTTAAATTGTCTGTCCCTGTCTTAAACAGACCGTAAACCAGTTGGCCCACGCTCTTCATCAAGATGAACTTCTGGATGCTGGCAGTTTAGTCAGCGTTATGTGGCCCAATTCCAAATGTCCACTCTTAAAGGATGACCTAGTGCTGATGGACAGGTGAGAGCACTTTCTTACCTTTTCTGCTTATCACGTGGTTAATACAGAAAAGTCTTCAAATACAAAGTTAGCAAACATAGGAAATTGACCCTGTTCTAGTCTATCATAGTGACAAAATCCTTCTTTGTAATTAAAAGAGTTTCTCTTTCCTGTTTTTTGTAGTTGCACATTTTACCTCCTCAGAACATAGTGTGTAGCTTACACGTGGGAAATAAATGTTACAGTTCTTTGGTATTAATTTCTACTTGTATGTGTTTAAATTGCTTCAGATCTTTTCAAACAATAATAATGTCTTCTTTCCTCTTAATGCTAGCCCTGGCATTGATGTAACCACTGAGCTGGACAGTTGGATTGACAAGTTCTGTCTGGATGCTGATGTGTTTGTCCTGGTGGCAAATTCTGAATCTACATTGATGCAGACCGTATGTTCAAGTCTCCTTGTTAACGTTCAGCAATGACTTTGGCTGATTGAGCATGAATTTGGCTACAAGTTTATACACTGACATGTTAGTCTAAGAGATTTTGTTCTGTTTTTCTTAGGAGAAACAGTTCTTCCACAAGGTGAATGAACGTTTGTCTCGACCCAATATATTTATCTTAAATAACCGCTGGGATGCATCTGCTTCTGAACCAGAATACATGGAAGAGGTTTGTGGTGTGTTTAAGTTCCTTCTCTTTGCGTGAGCATTATGGAATCCATTTTGACTCTGCTCTTTGTGGCTTAGAATCACAGATATGTGTTAGATATGATTGTTTTACAATTTAGATATTAATTGCAATTAATTTAACTACTCTAGTGAAGACTTGAGTGAGTATAAGATAGTGGTCAAAACGGGTCTCTGCACATTTCTGAGCTGGAAGCCAAGATCTTTCACAGAGTCTCTTGAGGTTACATCTCTTGGATAACCTCTGGAAGATTCTATCCATTTTGTTTTCTTTCATACTGGTAGCTTAGACCAGCAGAGGGCATCTCGTTGCCCAATCTAACTGTTTGACGTGGAACCTCAAGCGGATTTAACTGAGTGTGAGGTTTATCCTTCAGGTGCGTCGGCAGCACATGGAGCGGTGCACCAGCTTCTTGGTGGATGAACTGGGTGTGGTGGATCGAGCCCAGGCAGGGGATCGAATTTTCTTTGTGTCAGCAAAGGAAGTGCTGAACGCGAGGATTCAGAGGGCTCAAGGGATGCCAGAAGGAGGTGAGGAAAGCTAGCAGAAATTGACATGCTCGCTTTTAAGGGAAGAAAATAGAGAATATCTTGTTCCAAAAGTGGACAAAACTGGAGGGCATGTTATTAGGACAGCAACCAAAAACAAACGAGAGAACTTGACTACAGCTCTTCTGCGTTGGTCTCAGAGGAAAGCAGTTTCCTGATGGCCAAGAATTGATTGCTTTCATGAAATTTAAGTGGTTGTTTTGTACTTTCCTTAGGTGGAGCATTGGCAGATGGATTTCAAGTGAGAATGTTTGAGTTTCAGAACTTTGAAAGAAGATTTGAGGTGAGTGTTACGTGTGCTAACTTTCTTTTATGTCTTATTCCTGAGTGTCTGGGGACTAGAGCAAACATGGAATGGACCGTATCTTGAAAATAAATGATATGGGGAAGAAACTGTGTTAGTATGCTTCTGACTGTTACTAATTTTGGCTGCCTCTTGTATACAGGAATGTATCTCGCAGTCCGCAGTAAAAACAAAATTTGAGCAGCATACAGTGAGAGCAAAGCAGATTGCTGAAGATGTTCGTCTTATCATGGATTCTGTGCATGTTGCCGCCCAGGAACAGCGGTGAGGAGATGCTGATGCTTGGTGCTTGCATTCTGGGAGTATACCAAGGGAATGGGAGCATCTCTGCATGCATTTTGCATGCTTTGCATTTTAAGTGCAGAGTTTTTGGAGTTGGGAGGGCCATGTATCAGTAGTTTTGTCTTTAATAAACAAAAAGAGTATTAGAGGGGGACTCTCCTTTTTGTCCTCTGTATACATAACATTTTAGATATTGCCACTTCTGGTCTTTGTACTGGAAAACCTCATCTCCAGAATTCCAAAAGTATTCATAGCTCAGAGATGTGCTAAGCTGACTTGTTGATGAGCACTTTTTTTTTTTCCATCAGAGTTTACTGTCTGGATATGCGAGAGGAGCGGCAGGAACGTTTAGGTTTTATTGATAAACAGCTGGAGCTCCTTACTCAAGACTATAAGCGGAAGATAAAACAGATCACAGAAGAAGTGGAGAGACAGGTAAGGAAAAGTGGGTGTTTAAAAACAGAAAAGACATAATCTGAGAGAGTCACCAGCATGGTGGTCTTTGCTGTGCAGAACGTAGGTCTGTGTATTTCCAAGCTATGATTGATAAAATACTTCTTGCGTTTTTCATTTGGCCCACATAGGCCTTATGCAAAGTCATAGCGCTGATTCTTAGTGCTTGTTAAGAAAGGTGTGATTTAAGTGGTAGTTTCTCTGTCCTTGAAATAGACTGTTTAGTAACTCTGTCCTCTGTGGCTGATTCTCCAGGTATCAAATGCAATGGCTGAAGAAATTAGACGGCTTTCAGTGTTGGTAGATGAATACCAAGCAGATTTCCATCCATCTCAAGTTGTTCTTAAAGTTTACAAGAATGTAAGTGATGTTTGCTTTTCACAGGTTGCATAAGCTGCGCAAGCAGGCCTTATTTTGGTGTGAGTCAGCAATTAGACAGCTCTTTGAGATTTGATTTTGCCATTTAGAGTGTGAACGAAGCCTTTCATAGTTGTCTCGCATTGTGGAGGAGAGTACTAAAACTTGTGAGTTGTCTTAGCTATTTTTAAGTTCAATAACTGTTTTTGTTGTTGTTGTTGTTTCTGACAGGAGCTACATAAGCACATTGAGGAAGGTCTGGGCCGCAACATGTCAGACCGTTGCTCCAATGCTATCACAGCTTCCCTGCAGACAATGCAGCAAGAAATGATAGGTCAGATCAGCAGACAATATTTATCTTTCCTGTATTGTAGCACAAAACAACTAGATGGATATTCTGTGGTTCTTTTTTGCTCGGGCTGATGTTTGCTGCTTAGTTTCTGCTTTTATTAGTAATGCTTTAGAGGACTAGTCATCCTTTTTCTACTTTGTGCCTGAACTTGTGTCCTGCTAATAAATGTGATCAATCTGCATAATCCTTTGTGAGGATGAGAGAGGAATCATGCCTATATTAATGAAACAGGGATGACTCATAATTAGAAGTCTGTCTGCATGTAACCTTTATTAGAGTGTGGACAGAGTATGGGCTTAAGTGCCTTTTAAAACTCATCTTCAGATTCTATTTTCCAAGCTGTTGTTGAACTATAAACTTTGCCCACTACATGAGGGATTTGGGAGGGTCTGTAGAAAGATTTATTTGTGAGCTGATAGAAAAAATCTAAGCACTGAAGAATGCTTTCTGTGAGATGTCTTTAACTTTACAAGATATTTGGCTTTAGGAACTTTAAGATGCTAACAACAAGTGCAAAAAATAGAACAATCAATAATTACCCTGATCAGAGAATAGAAGTCCAGTTGATTCTAGTGAAACCAATAGCTCTTTTATATTTCTGTTTACTTTCTATCTATGCAGATGGTTTAAAACCCCTTCTCCCAGTGTCTTTGCGGGGACAGATAGATATGTTAATTCCCCGACAGTGCTTCACACTCAGCTATGATCTGAACTGTGACAAGCTTTGTGCTGACTTCCAAGAGGACATAGAATTCCATTTCTCTCTTGGATGGACAATGCTGGTGAATAGATTTTTGGGACCAAAGAATGGTCGTCGAGCCTTGATGGGCTATAATGACCAGGTAAGTTACCTCATTGAATAGTCAGTGGTAGATCTAATACTTGCTAATTCCAGTGGCTGCTCATGCCTTGTTGGTAGGAAGGGCTATGCTTGTATTCTGGGTTTGTTTTTGTTTTGTTTTTCCCTCTATATTTTTAAAATTATTTTGTTTTGTGTTTTTTTTCTCATTAGATTCAACGCCCTTTGACACCAGCAAATCCCAGTCTGCCTCCTTTGCCTCAGGGTTCTATGACCCAGGAAGAGCTCATGGTGTCTATGGTGACCGGATTGGCCTCATTAACTTCCCGAACTTCCATGGGGATCCTCGTGGTTGGTGGTGTGGTGAGTTGACAATCTGAGAAACATTTATATAAATACTGTTGGAACACTGATTTGAAAAGTGCTTATCTTACTGATTTCTTTAGATATTTGCGATTGACAGATACCAAAATACTTTCTTTTTTTTGATCTTCCATTCGTATATAAATATTGAGCTTATTTTACATCCTAGTTAGGTTTGGAGCCAGCTAAATGAATGCAAGTTACCAAAAAAAAAAATCCCATAAAGTTATTTCTAATATTTTTGTGAGAATAGAAGAAAAACAAATATTTTTTATTTTCCTATTGGCAGAAGAATCAAAACGGAGATTGAAAATGAAATTTCTGCCAGCAGCCTCTGATTGTATGCATCTTCATTCCTGAAAGGGAAGGGGTGTGCGTAACTTTAGATACTATGCCTGAATTTTCTTAGAACTTTCTGCTTTTTTAACTTCTGGAAAAAATACCTGTTTTGAATCCCAAAACTAGAGCAAAGTAGTAGACGTAACTTACTTGGTAACTTTATATTGGGTCAGTTTCTTATCTACATAGTATTCTAGCATCAATGTCTAAGGACAGATGACTTCTCAAAGGGAAGATGATTGTCTAAAATTGCCTTTTACTTAGAAACAGAGAATCTATGAACAGGAGAATTTGCTTTTGCACTTACAAGCATAGTTTAAATGATGATTGTAAAGAGGTAGTGTCATTCTTGACTGATGATCATGGCTTTATTTTTTTTTTTTTTTTGTCTATTTCATGCGTTGATTTTAGGTCTGGAAGGCTGTGGGTTGGAGACTGATTGCTCTTTCTTTGGGTCTTTATGGGCTCCTTTATGTATATGAACGTCTCACTTGGACCACAAAAGCAAAGGAGCGAGCTTTCAAACGCCAGTTTGTAGAGTACGCTGGTGAGAAACTACAGCTCATCGTCAGTTATACAGGTTCCAATTGCAGCCACCAAGTCCAACAGTGAGTTGCCTACATTCAGCTAAAGTCTTCTCTAATTTCTGTGATTGCTGTTTGTTTTTTAACGTAGTATTGCTTGCAAAAACAAGACAGTTCTGTGCATCAAACTCATTTCAAAAATGTGACGATACATGTGTTTTAAAACATTATTATGTTAAGTGGCCTGTTTGGTTGCTCACCAGCATTTGGATGATCTTTAGTATTAATTTTGATATATACTTGAATCTTTCAAATCATGTTGCTTTGTCTCCAAAACGTTTTCATATAGAAATAGAAAGATCTTTTCATAGTGAGTTTTCCAGAGTCAGTATCATCACTGTACATCAGAAGGGTTTATTTCTCGAGTTTGGTGCTTGATCATACCTTTCTTCATCTCTGACTGTTCTCTGTCTCGTTTCATAGAGAGCTTGCTGGAACATTTGCTCACTTGTGTCAGCAAGTGGATGTCACGCGGGAGAATCTTGAGCAGGAGATTTCTGCCATGAATAAAAAAATTGAAGTTTTGGATTCACTGCAAAGCAAAGCCAAATTGCTCAGGTTAGACTTTACCATCACTTACACACAATCATTTGCATTAAATAGCTTTTCTGCAATGTAGAGTTTGCTACAAATTATTCAGATTATGATGCATCTTTTTAGTGCAGTGATGTGAAGATAGCAAACCTCTTCCTTTGCCAGATAGCCTTCCCTTACACTATTATCTGAAAAGCAATTTGTTACTGTTACAAAATCTCACTTTAATGGAATTACAATATAGTGTAGTCTCTGTAACAGAGAAAAGAAGTCCCTTAAAAGTTGAGGCAGAAGATATTCTTGAGGAATTGCTGAACAGTGAACAATTCTCTTTTTTTTTTTTTTCTCTCGTGATAGAATAAGGAAGATACTAAGCTCCTGCACTGTCACACCTCACCTTCTCCCTCATCACACATTTCCTTCTTGCTGTTGATTTGTGCAGAATTACAGTTCCTTTCCACTTCCTCAAAAAATCAAGGTGTTTTTGTTCCTGTTGTTTTTCCTCTAAATTTTTCTTATAGACAGGATAAGATAACTTTAAAACTATAATGAAGGTTTTAGCAATCCCTAACTCAAGTTCAATTTAGCAAACAAGCGTCCTGATCTGAAGAGCACAGTTTTGGAATAGACCTCTGTGTCTTGCTGTTGATGAGTTTTAGTCATGCTGCTTTCAAATTAGCTTGAGAAAAGCTATTCTTTTCATCTAATACAGACTTTTTTCATCTAATAGTGACTTCTTTTGTCTTTGCAGGAATAAAGCAGGTTGGCTGGATAGTGAACTCAACATGTTCACACATCAATACCTGCAGCAAAGCAGATAGTGTGAGAAGAAAAGAAAATCAGCAGTTTCCCCTCAGTGCTCTCTTAATTACTGCAGAGAACATGGTGGGTGATGGAATCTCCAAAGGGATGAGCAAAAGCTATTTGCTACGTTTCCAGTCATTGTGTGGACAGTAGGATTCTGCTTTCCCGTTTCATGTCCCACCTCTAAACACTAGCTGTTTGTAACTTATTTTTCCTGCTTGGGAGGCTGGGCCACTTCAGAAGAAATGTCTGCCTCATACGTTAACAGGGGGCTTTTTAAAGCAAAATGAAATTTGGTAACAATTTGGTCAATTTAAAGTAGCAAACATTCATCACATTAAGCCATTCTAACACATCTTTCATTTTGGATTCAGCCGTTTTACTACATGCAGATAGAACTTCTGCATTCAAAGCCCTACGTTCATGCATGTGTGGTAAGCAGCTATTTGTCTAAACACTGATTTCTTGTGACACACAGGTATAAAGATGGTTTCACGGTACTTTTAAAGTCCATGACAGCGTATTTCCTAGGTTAACCTTCAGCTACTACAAAATAAGACAAACAACTGCACCTTATCACTTTATAGAAAAGTTTGTTGCTGTCAGTATGTGACATCATCATGTGACATCATATAGCATCAAAACTGAACAAAACCAGTTACCTCTCCAAGAGGGAATAAGATTTTGCTTTAGTAAACTCACTATATTTGGAGTTGGTTTCTTCTTCAGAGCTCTCGAGTTCAACAAAGCAACCTGGCCTGTTCGTGTCATCAACAAATAATGTGGGCCATAAAGTAGGTAGTATTCATTTTGATGTCCTGATAATTTGGCAGCTTATTGAGGAAGAAAAGCAGGACTGAAAAGGAAAGCCAGCTGACAGAATGCAGATAATTGCCTTATGAGATAAATTGATGAATGCATTTTCTTGGAAATGCACAGCTATGTTTCTGGAAGCAGGACTTTGGAATTCCATTACCGCTACTTGACCACAAGGACAGCATGTGGATAACAAACTGTAAGAGATTTTGCTTTGTGTAGAGTTTCCATAGGATAGAATAGTCAATGCAGTAATATGATTAATATGAATTTTTGTTTTTTTTATTCAATGCACTCTACTGGCAGACAGGTCAAACTGATCTTTGGGTTTTCCCCTGTGCAGTTTTTGAGTCTAAGATTTATGAATTGCAAGGACTCAAATCTCTTCGTATTGTAATTGAGGAAGAAGAAATTCCTACTGATTTCAGTAGCACTATGATCAGGTTCCCATGTTGCAAAATGTTTTTTCCATTTAGTACATCAATATTATACTACATATTTTAGATTGAGCTTTCTGTTCTCCCACCCTCAATCTCTACGGAATCCAAAATCAGGACCTACAGTTTTGGCGTTAATGTGAACATAAATCTGTCCAGCATTGAATATATTAGAAAATATGGATTGTCTGTGAGCAGGTCCCAGCTGCGAGTTCAGAATCACAGAAAGTTGTTTTTGTTTAATTTTTAGTCCTGTTGACGAGATTTTTTTACTTTCCAATGGCCTTGGGATTTCTCATTCATGGTCAGATGCAAATAAATGTGCCTGTGACAAATCCGCTGCTTCAAATGAAGTTCCTGGAAGAAGCAGCAGTCTTGATACTTGAGGCAAAATACTGATGTGGCCCTAAATACTTGAAGTTGTTTTAACCTTTGCAGCAAGATCGGAGGTGTCTTGGATGAATTAGAAGCTGTGGGGAAGGTTGAGACTGTTATGTCCCTGGTATGCAGGAAGCAAACAACTGAGCATTAGAACAGAGGAGTGAATTCCACAGAGCTCGGGTGTTTCATAAGTCCTTCCAGGGGACAGCTTTGAATCCAACCCAAATTAAATATCCATTTTCAACTGAGGTCTCTTTATTGTCTATAGTCAATCTCCTCGGGCAGTCAAGATCTGTGAATGGGGAGGGAGTAAACTTGTCTTTGCCTCTGGAAGCAGGTTTGTGATGAAGCATATCAGAATAAGTTGAATTACCTGCTGTTTCTGTCCTGTAGGTATTATGAGAATAAATTCAGAACTTGAATCTCCCAGGCTCTCTTCAGCCTCTATAATAAACTCTGTACCATGCAGTTGAGTTAAAACACTAAGCACATCCCTGATACAAGAGGGAATTTGTTGATTCCGTTAATCAACAGCTGTAGAAGGGAGCTGACCAGACTTCTGAAGGTTTGTGCTGCTGCCCTCTTTTTAACAGGCCTAAAGGGGAAACCCAAGGAATGATCTGCACTTTAGAGCTGGTGCTTCATCTGTAAAGTGGAAGAGATTGACAGATTCTTAGAAACTGGTGTCTTGCTGTTGTGTATGTTTCTGGTACAGCTCAGATTTTGGTGAGGTAGACTTTCTTGCTGGACCATTGAAGCACAACCTCTACAAGGCAGGAACAACCACTTAAATTTTTTTAAGACACAAAACTACTAGCAGGGGCCGGGAACTTTTTGAGTATATGTGTGACCCTTGTCACTAGAAACCGAGTGACTGAGAATCAGAGTTTAACAGAATTGACCATGAGTTGCATTCCTCTTTAAAAAAAGAAAAATAAAAAAGACTGTGCTGCTTTAATTCAGTTTGGGGGAGGAATAAATGCTCTCAGCAAGGAGGTTTTTATCTTCTGCTTTCCCTAGGTAATGATAAATAAACCTTAAAATTACTTGTTCTAAGAGCAAGCTCCCCAAACTTCTTATTAAAGAAGGCCAGCTAAATGCACTTTATCTTATTGCTGCTACTTCTTTTTGTTGTTTTGTTGATGGAGCTCTTCAAAATCCTCTTACCAGTGAGTTCTCTCTCTGCTGTATTTAAGGTGATAAATCTGCATGAATTTTTCCTCTATCAATGCTGTAAACATTGGAAACCAAAATAAATAAGTGGGAAAACCAGTTTCTGCTGCTGTGTCCTGCATGTCTTTCTGTAACGGCTTGAGCCCTGAATCTAAGCCGGGATGAACCTTGTTACCTGTACCAAGTAAGAGCCGTCACCGTGGCGGTTTTGGGGAGTGTTTTGTTTAATGGCAGCGGTCTCACGGCTTTGAGAGCAGCTCCTGGTTGTGTCGGGGGCCGCCTTGGGGGATTCCTCTCCCCGTGAAGCAGTTTCGTTTCCGCCGGGGCGGAGCGGCGGCTGCGCGCGGCGCAGGCGGGGCCGGGCTGCCCGGGCAAGGCCCGCGGCCGCGGCCGGAGCGCCCCGGGGAGCCCCCGCGCGGCCCACAGGCCGCGGAGAGCAGCGAAGGTGGGTCCGAAATGTGGCGGAAAAGTGGAGAAAAGGGAGTTTAGCCCCGCGGTTCCCACAGCGGCTGCTGCGGGGGGAGCCGGCAGCCTCCCCGGGCCCTGCCTGGCCTAGAAAGGGGCGAGTTCCCCCCTCGCCCCCATTGCGGCGCTTGGTTACCTCATGGCGGAGAAACTCGCCCTTAAGGGGCAATTCTACAAGGAATACCCAGGGATCTCTCTGCCGTACCTCGCTCAACTGTTGGAAATCTTTCCTGCTTGTATTTAGTTTCCAGACTGCCTTTTTTTTTTTTTTTTTTGCCTTTTTTTTTGCCTTTTTTTTTCCCCCTTTTAACTGAAAAAATCTAAACTCCGTTTCACAAAGCATTCTAAACCAGTTTCACAAGCTTGATGTGGTAGGGAGCACACGGGGTGAAGGATGAGGGGTTAGCTGCCTCTTGCAGATTCTGGTGAGTGACCCTCCTCTGGTAAAACCCGTACCAAAAGTCCCTCGACTAATGTGTTGTGTCTGTGGTGTGGTGGGGTTTTTTATTTTATTTTGTTGTTTTCAGAATATTTGTCTTCTAATGAGCAGTGATGGGCGGATGCTGTTAGCTTTGTCCTGCGAATGAGAACCTCCCTTTTGCTTGGCCTCAAAGAAATGTACTTTAAGTACATTTAAAGTGCTTTAAAAGTCCAGTAATGCAGCATTCACTTCTTTTAAATGGTATATTTCTCTGGTTGTTAGTATCACTCACCATTCCTTCTAATACCTCAAGTGGATTTCAGTCCTCGCCTCCAGTTGCTATAGTTCCACACGGCAAAACAAATCAGATGCCCTGTGGAGAAGGGTTTAGGATTCCTTTAGAACTAAAGGTCCTAGGGATGTGTGGTAAAAGTTTTACTAGGAAACATCAACGATCATTTTAGTCAAAGTTTTTTTTTTCTTATTTATTTTTCTTCTTTTCAAAGGTTATGTTTTATTTTTCTGTAATAAAACATTTTCTGCAAACATAGAGAAGCTTATTATGTTGTGTCTATGATGAACAGTTTGGCAGCTTTTTTTCTAAAATAACCTTGTATTTTATTGTTCTTGAATTTCCTCCTCCCTTTTCTTGGTACAAGGATATCAGGGTTTAGTGATTAATAGTCTTGGAATTACCTGAACCCTAGTCCAGATTGAGCCATCATTGAGTGTTTGTGGTCTTCTTGGCTGAGGAATGTGGAGGATAGTTTTGACTAAATACTTCTGGATGTAGTGATTTAACTTCTGGATGTAGTGATTCATTATTCATATTTTGAACATATAAATTTATCGATATTATTACAACGTGAGCTTTGATTTAAAAAAGAAGGCAGAATTATGTGTAACTATTCTCTCAGTCACTGAATGAGGTAACGTCTCTCAGTTGTTTTTTTAACATAACGGTTTTTCATGTGTTTTATCTGTAAAACTTTATCTCCATTGAGTCAGCCACCAGATTCTGAGTCCAAAATATCTGACTGCACATCTGAGGGAAGGGAAATGTGTATGGTGATAGTAGCTCTTAGAGAGCTTGAAGAGTTCTGAGATTGGCTGATTTCCCTGGAGCAATTATAGCGCCCAGTATTCCAAAACCTACAAGTGATTCTTATGAAGAACCTTCTGAAAGCGTATTTAGTTAGTTTGACCTGAATCTGCTTCTTTGCTAATGTCTCCAGTCATATTGTTCGCTCTTTTTCTGGCTTTACAGGAAAAGGTGTCCATAGGATGGAGTTAGAGCACTTGAAGAAGCTGCAGCAGGCCAACCTGGATCTTCTCAAAAGGCTCAGAATAAAGCAGGAAGAGATCAGAAAAAGGCTTCCCAGAAAACTACCCTTTCCAGCATCTTTTCATAAAAAAACAGCTCCTGAAATATCTGTGCCTGTGCCGGACAGAGGGGTATGTGTTGGGTTGGTGCTAGAAGTGCTGGGAAACAAATGAACTTAGTAGACAGCAGCTCTGCCTGTGCAATTAGTTGGTAAAGAAGATCTCTACACGTGGATCAACTGTCAGAATGTAGGGTATGGAATCAGAAAAGTAGCTGGAGTTGCTGTTAATGCTTATCCTAAAATACATTCCCTTTTAATAAACATAATCCTTTAATTGCCTCTTATCATAAAGACTGAGGGTTTAGCAGTTTTGAAATTGCATTCTAACTCTCTGTGGATCCCTGTTTTATGTTCTCCAAACATTTAACAACAGAGTCTTGTAGACAGTATTTATTCCCACCAGGAGCTTAGAGGGGTGGGGAGACTAGACTGAGCCTGAATTTCTCCTAACTGAAATGTCCTAATGAGAAGTGTTTGTAATCTGAACAATGTTCTGAGATAAGAGGGTGTCTATCTTTACAGAAGGAAAATGAAGTTGGTGCTGTAAAGACTACAACTGATCCAGCAGTTTCGGTTTCTTTGGAGCCTAGAGCTCGTGCAGACAGGGCAGTCCTTTGCTCATCACACAGATGCATGATGCTCAGCAGGAATGGCAGAGTGGAAAAGCAACAGCAAGCAAAGATGCAGCAAGAAGTAGGTTCAGATTTCAGCTTCCCTGGAAAAGAGCAAAAGGCTTTGCCAGTGTCTGCAATTGTTAAAAGTGGCAGAGAAACATCCGGAGGGGATAGGGATGACCGTACATCAAAAATGCCAGAGAAAAACTGCCTCCTTCTGGAATATGGAAAGAATAGAAAACAAGCCGTTCTCTTACACAGTCTCCAAGAGGGAGAACAGCTTACAGCTCATTTGGACCCTTCACTGAGCAAAATGCAAAACGAAGAGACAAGCAAGGGTGCCTTCATTAAAGAGCCCATAACCCCTAAATCAATCCTGCTGACATCTCGGTCCAAAGAGTTGAAGGTAAATGCTGAAACCAGTGCCTTGCTCATTTTTACAACTCAGTAGGGAGACAGGGGAAGAGGTCAAGAAAAAAATGGTTACCTTGTTCCGCGTTGTAAATTAGAAGTCAGGATTAGAACTGTCCCCTGTCCTAGCAGCCAAAGGCTGTCAGCAACTCATTCAGTACCTGCCTTCTTTAACTGTTGAATCACAGGGAGATTCTGTAGTTTCTTGGCCTTCGTGTACTCAGGGATAACAGCGTGATGCACTACTGATGCTACATTGCTTGTTTCCTGAAGGCTGTTGGCATAACTGGCCTGCTCCTTGGGGATGTGTGATGCAGGGATGTTGGCATTCTGTAGTAAGTCCTTGAATAGACTTTCTGCATGATTTTGGGCAAGTCACTTGCTTCTTCCCAAGCTGCACCTTAGCTGCTGAAGGTACAGGAAGCCTTTCTGAATTTGTTTTGGGTTTGGGGTTTTTTTTTCTCTTCTTTTTTTTTTTTTTTTTTTTTCCCAGCAGAAGGAAGCTGGTCATGTGACATTTCAGTCTGAGCCTGTAGAATGTACCATCCCTGCGAGTAGTTGGTCTGCGCGTCCTTTCCTGGGTTATGACTGGATTGCAGGTGAGTCCTAAACGGGAAGCAAAGTTTTCAGCATGATGTGGTAATGTGAAGAGTGAAAACACACACACACACACACACACAGTGAAATCTCTGGCTTGACCTGATGATAAACTCAAGTTCTCCTCAATATCCTCGCTCTGGTACTGCGAACCTTTGACTATCCTGAGTCTTTTCTGTAATGCTTGCTTTGGTGCTTACCTGGGTTTCTGTTCTTCTCAGGACTCCTAGATTCAAACTCTTCAGTAGCAGAAAAATCTGACCAATATTTTGCCGAGCTGAAGGCATTTCGGCAGGCCAACAGAGAAGCATGTGTCCATGAACACCATCTGCAGTAAGTGCATACAGGGGGATTTGATGAAGCAGATCCCTGTAGATTAAAAGTTTAGTCTGGCTGGAGTGGGAGGTTTTAAGTGTGGCTCTGTAGGTCTTTACCTCCCAGACAGAAGCTTAAGCTTAGAAAAGGTGGAGTCTGTTCAGAGAGTCTGTCCCTCCCGATCGCTGACAGTTTTGTTTGTTTCTTTAGGTCCGAGGCTCTGGATTTTGTGTTTCCTGACCAAGAAGCAGATTTGATAACCAGTTCCCATAAGTGTAAGATCAGATTTCTCATAAATGTAAAATCAGCTTTCTTCCTAATCCAGTTTTGGTAAACAAACCACTGGGCAGTCTTGGGCTGTCTTTGGGGAGAGCACCATACCACATAAGAAGAGTGTGTTTTTTTTAACAGCTACTTCTACTCCAGACTCAGCTTCCTGTTCTGATGAGTCTTGAGTCTTCTAGCGATCCTCTCTCAATCAGAGTCTTTATTTTGTCAGAGTTTCTTGTAATTGACTAAGTTCTGTTTTAAGCTTAGGAAGTTGAGTTTTCGGTTTGCTTTTTAGGAACCTTCTTGGGGACAGGATATGTAAAAGATCTTTTTCTGAAAAAGAGCTCTGCCTCTGTAGAACACATGTATGGCATTGTAGTAAGAGAAGGCTTTGTAGCCTGGCTTGAAGAACCTACTGGTAAACTAGAAATACAGTGATGATTCTCTGATCTGCGGCAGGTGTTTACTGTTACCGACTAAATCAACGTCTCTTCACTGTCCCTGTGGATTCAGAATCTGCCTGCCCTGTGTGTAAGATCCCACGAACCTACTGGCCCCCAGAGACTCAGGAAGAGCCAGCCTACGTCAGGTAAATGAGAACTATTATTTTGTCTCCTTGAGTTCAGCATATTACAGTGGGGAAGAAAAAACTGATTCTGTGAAGGAGAAAACAACTTCAAAATCATTCTGTGATTCTGTGAAATAGCTGTTAAGAAGGTTGCTGTTCTCAAGGCAGAGAGATGTCTGGCTTAAAAACCATCAAAACCCCTACTATTCGTAGGGTTTCTTCTAGAAGTAGAAACAATGTTGAAGTCAGAGACAAATATATGTTTGATCTGAATTCAGTCTGGAACCTGAACTGTACATGTTAAATGTTCTGAGGCGCTAATCTGAAACTGTTTCAGTTAGTTCACTTTGGGATTAGACCTTTGGATTTTGAGTGGGGAAGGAGATTCCTGATACCTTGAGGAAGGTGTAAGCAATTTTTTCCCTTCTGTGGCTGCAGGGTCAGCATTCCCAGGTCTACCCTTATGCCTGCCTACAAATACAAAGCCCATCGCAGGAAAAGCTTCAAGCCTRCTGACAGTCTGGCTTTACCCTCGGTGAGTTGCCACCTTCTTGCTACTAGTGAAAGCTACATTGGTTGTTGTAATAGTGCAAGAGAGAAAGAAAATCTGGGGCTCAATCACTCAGGTGGTAGTCACACAGAAATTTCTGTGAATGGGAGGTTTCAGGTCTGTTAAGGGCTTCTGATCTGGGACACTTGAAACAGCAGGAAATGCACTGAAAGGGATGAGTGTGGAAGCATCTAGCCAGTATAATGCATATCACCCTCTACAGCTAGAACTTCAAAATGCTTTGCATATGACACTGAGAAAAAGTGTCATATGGAACTGTACACATGAGTCACCTGTTTTAGGCCTCACCAGAAGAACCATAGCTAAGAGTGCCTGTTTCTTTCCACACACGTTAAAAGAGTCTAGATGACAAACTTCTGTGGAATATCAAGATTATATAGTGGTCAGACAAAATCAGCAATTTGTTGTAAGTTTGGGTTTAAAACTGTTTCCATAGAATTAGTCCTGTATTCAAGCCAGTTGGCAACACTGCAGGCAGTATTACTCACCAGACCCAGCCTGCCCTGGAGATTTCCAGGGAAGACATAGGAAGAAGCCTGGTTTGAGGTTTAGGGAGGTGAATGAGTCAGTTATGAACCCAGGAACCCGACCTTTATGAACTTACCTCAAGGGAAGAGATCATTTCAGAAATAATTAAGCAGAGAAAGGAAGAAAAGTGTACAGATAAACAATTTCACTTTATTAGAAGAGATTTCTTCTGCACCTTTACTCATAGAAAGTTCCTCAAAAAATTAAGTAGCTTCCCAAGCCTCCCTGTGGAGAATTTCTTATTTAGAAAGACCAGGCCACAGTAGCCTAACAGAGAAGGTGTTCACGTACAGTATTCCCGTCTTTTCTCACAGCATTGTCTGGTTGGCTGGGAAAATGTCATCTCTTCCAATAACCCCACACTCAGCAGTTTGGATCTGCGGGCTTTACTGAAGGACAAGACTTCGCACCATCCTCATCTGGTAAGAACAGCCTCTTACCTGTCCCTGCAGCTGTGTGAACTGCACCGATGGGAATTGTAATCCTGTGTTTCTAAGCAGTACGATAATTGTGATTGCCTCAGCAAAAGAAGCAGCCTAGATTGTGCAGGATTTTGTCGTCTTGCCTCCTCCCAGAGCAGTATGAATCGGAGCACTTCTGGCTCCTTATCTGTACAAGGAAACAGCATCTTTTTGCTGCAGTCTAGACTTCTGTGTATGGACACAAAAAAGCAAAGGGGAGCTGCATAACAACAGCACAAAGTCAAAAAGCCTCATCACCAATTTTCAGCATAATTTAAAAAAATTACTTTGTCATTGTTTAACTAACAGTGTCTTCATTTGGATTGCAGAACTTGGTGTCCAGAGTGTCAGGAGGAACYAGAACTAACCAGCTCCTAAACCTGGCCCATTTGCTACACTTAAGATTTAACAGTGGAGCAAGAAGGAGCAAAACAAACACGAACACTTCAGAGCATCTCGAATTTTAAATACTACTACCTCAACTCTGTTAACCACTGACCTGATTGCCTCAGGGCAAAGAATGGGAAGAACTAAATTCAATTAAAAATAAATCCTTCAACAGGAGATTTTTATTTTTGTAGTCATGCACATCCACAAGTACCCAAATGCCCATATCTGAATGTATAAACTTGTCCGTGTGTTTTTACCTTTTCTTTGCCTTTTGGAAGCTGCTTTAAGGAGATGCATGAACTTTGATGCCTAGGGCTTGGTAAGGGGATGTGGAAATAATGACTAGTACTGTTGCCACTAGGAGAGCCACAGCAAGAGCTATGTACAGAGTTCATCTGCCACCTCAGTGAAGTAAACCAGAAATGCAATGTTAATTCTGAAAGCTGGAGTAAGGAACTGCCTATGAGCAGCTTGGCACGATGTGGTATGTACCACTGTGCTCATTTCCAAATGTGAGTAATGCCAAACATTATTACTTTGAGTAATGCCAAACATTATTACTTAATTCATTAGACTTGAGATACTCAATAACTTAGTTAAAAAAACCCCAAAACTTCCTCATGTAAGCCCAGTGTCTGTAGCTGCAGGATTACATTATGGATCTGAAAAAGTTAAAATAGAATGACATTTTATTAATGAAAAAGTTAATTAATGCCTTAAAATGTCTGCAAGTTATGTTTACCTCTGATTTTTCCAATATATTTTGGAGACAAGCCCTTGGAATTGTTAAATTGTACCAAAACAAAGTGCATTATGTGGTGTGATTTGTACTGTATGGTATAATCTTACTTTGCTTGACTAAAAACAATAAATTCAACATATTTTCTTTTTAATCTTGAATAAGCTTGAAACAGGAATTTCTTCCGTAAGGATTTTGTAAGATATTATGAAACCTTTTCTACTAATATTTGCGTACAGAAGCAAATCAAATCTATTTCAAATTTATTTCTGGGAGCTAACTTGACAGAAGGATTTAGGTTTGCAACAAAGAGATTTTTAGTTCCTTGCTATTTCCTGTTTGTTACTTTTATATTCAGTATGTGATTTGTTTGTCATCAGATCATGCATCATCAGATTGCCATTTTGACTGACTTTTTTTTAAAAACAAGGAAAGCTTCATGATTTTTTGAAATCCTAATGTGAGATTGTTAGAGCGAACAGTGAAAAGCATGACTGAACAGTTTAGAGTTGTGTAGACAGTGGAAAGTGGATGGAATTTCTCACATTATTTCCATTATTGAAAATAGTTTAAAAAATAATTCAGCAAATATAAAATAGTAGTTGCAAATTGGTGTACCAAAGTAGGATGTTTTCAACACTTCTACCACCTTGAGTTCACACTAAAATATTAGATATTATAAACATTTTTATTTTCGTATTTTTCTCCTGAAATACAGTAAATACAGGAAGCCGGAGCTCCTTACAAGTGCAAATGATGAACTGCTTGGTTGAACGTGTGCTTCCCCTCTCTCCCCATTGTCAGCCTGGACCTTGGAGGAGTAGGTCTTGGGCAGAGTGGCATATCTCAAGAAAAAACACTTTTTTTTTCCCATGTGCATGCTTCCAGCATGGTTACAGATTAGCTTTAACTCTCTTTTCATATCCTTCCTCTTGTATTCTCGTGTCCTCTTTTCTGATGGCACTTTCTACCAAGGTGCCCAGGCTCAAAATATTCATGACGGGAAGTACTTTCTTTAATAAAATAATGACACCTTATATCATTTATTTTTTGTGTTAACTCCTATATTTTTTCTTTTTGATTATTAATCCTTTTATTAAGAATATAGCATTAAGAATAGAGTAACCCTTTCTATGTTGTTTGTGTAGCTACATCTTCGTATCAGTGCAGAATAAGGGTATATCATGATGAATGCAGACCCCTCTTCTGGCTGCATTGATTTTTTTCAAAGACAGGAGATCTGAAAGTGAGTAAAACCTTATATTTTAATCAGAAAACCTGACCTTGGACACGTATAGATTCCTCATCTTTTAGTAAGAAGGTGGCTCGTACCTTTGATCATCACATTTCAAGGCAAAGTCATCAAAAAGATGCTCCAGCTTTGCATGTGACTGCAGCTGCTGTAAATGAGTGCATTCTCTCTCATCTCTTTTTCTCATGATCACTCTGGTAAGATGAGTCCTGTGGGCCAAACAGTGTGGATGCTTATGTATTCAAGATGTCAAAGTAAGTTACCAAGCCTAGTTAGCATAGTTTGAACAGCAATAATGCAAGGAATTACAGAACTGTCATTTCTAGAAAGCGAGGTCATGCTTTCAGAGAATCAGATTTTATTTTTATTTGTTTTTGAATATGAACCTAAATTCTAACCCCAAAGGCAGGCAGCTGAAATAGTGTTACTCCACAGACGGGTGAAGCTTGTAACAAGCCTGCACAAGCTGCAGCTTTTGCATCATGTGCTWTGAGAATTAGTTAGAATGTAGGTACATGAATGAAGGGTACAGGGCAGTAACAAACATTTGCATAGAAGCTTTGCCTAGTAAATGTTATGTAATCCATGATATTTTACCCTTTCTTGAAGGACAGTGACGGAGATATGGTAACTTGTCACCTGGGTTAGCTTGGAAAGGAATTCATCTTTTTACTAATGGAAAAGTTGTATTTCATCTAGATAAAGTGGTTTCTGCACATGGGCTTTGTAGCACTCAGGGTGGTTGAGCCCATGCTGGAATCTGCACTTCTAGAGGAGAACACAGGGTGGAGGTAGCATGTTCGGGAAACCAGGATTGTGGATTAGGAATATGAGGGAGGGAGAGAGGCTGGGATCCTCCAGTGTGATGATGTGTGTGGTTCCAGTGGAAGTAACACGAAGTATCTGGCAAAATTGGGAACTGCTATATTGCTCCTAAGTCAGTGTCACAAACAGTCTGAAGAGCCWAGAGGAAGTCCAGCATTCTTGATTTCATACATATATATGTGTGTGTGTGTATATATATATATATATATTTCTGTTCATAGTAATTGAAACATGCTGGCCCAGTCTGTGCAGCTGTGTTTGCTGTTAATGTCTAGCTCCCATAGTGATTTGTGTTGGTTCTCTCCTGGCATGAGTGATAACTGCCTGATGCTTTGATGGTAAAGCTGGTGGTTTAGTTCCTTTCTGTGACTATCTTATCTCTGTATAACTGTGATTTGTAAGCTGGGAAATCTGATTTTGCTTATTTAAATGAACACAGCATAGTAAATAATGTATTTGTTACTGGTTTTGACAAAAAATAAAGTGGAGTTCAGCCTTTAAAAACGAACTCTCTATGTTTCTCATCAGTGGTAGGCTGCCACTGGTGCTACTCTGTCCATGTTTGCTACCTAGAGGACCGTTTCAGTGAGGTTTCAGGATCAGATGTTTCTTGCTGTAAATGTATTGCAAGAATTAATAACAAGATTCATGAATGAGGATAGTGTTGATTTATTCATTCTGTTTTGTTATCAGTATGTCAAAGAATGACTGTTCAGAATGCTTTTGACAGGTCTTAGATGAAATGCCTGTGCCTGGTGAGGACTTGCTTTTGAACCAATCACCAACTTGGATTTTGGAGCTTGTAGCTCTTTGGAATTTGTTTTCAGACTGTCAAATATGAAAACAGGAGAGAAATCCTTCCCCTTCTTTTCCAGGCTAGCCCCTCCACCCCCAGTTCACCAGCTTCTTGGMAAATTGCAGACCAAATGTAAGGAGCCTCTGTGTTCACTGAGTATAATCTTTTGCTTACACGGCTGGGGAAAATACACGGCTAGGGAAAGAAGAAGTCCCTAAATTTTCTGTGTTCAGATTCTCAAATGTAGTTAACGTTTTATGCTAGTTTTTGTTTGTTTGTTTTTTTAAAAAAAGATCATGACATACACTATCATTAATTTATTTCATGTTTCCTTTTTTTTTCTTTATATTTATTGACACAAAGGAAAACTCATCTTGCTTCTGTTAATAAGTTGTATAAACCTCAGCTTTTAATTCAGAATACTAAGAAATGAGTTACCCAAAAAGTATGTGACAGAACTGGAAACTAATGAGTCCAAATCTTGTGTTTTAACCACAAACGAACAGGCCTCCCCAAGCATTGCTATTTCTGATTTTAAATTAAAATACAGAGAATTGGAATTCTTGGTGCTTTTTCAATTTCCTTGTTTTATTTCCCAGACACACACAGATTACATTTAAACAACTGAAACAATAACATTAGCAATCGCTTAGCAATTAACAAATGTGAAATATTTGCCCAAGGGGTAGTTAAGTAGTTCTAGGGAAACTTGGGCCCATTTTTCATTATTTCAACCTGAGTGAGATTCTTTTCCAGCACTATAGATCCAGAATTACTCTGTTGAACTCATTAATTTTGTCTGGATTTGTATTTGTGTACATTTTCTGATAATAGAAGGAAATGTAAGACTGAAAGCTTCAGTRATCCTCTAAAAGAATGTGTTTAAGTAAAACATAAATTAATTTTTGGGGTACAGTAAGATCATAAGTAATTTCCAGTAAGCGGTGAACGAGAGTTTCATCCTGAAACAGCTGGTGTCTTTGGGAACAGCTTATTACAGAACAACCTCAGGGGTTAAATACTTTGCTGAAGTAAATGAACCTGGCCTCTCTGTCAGTGCAGTTCACACCAGCAAAATATCTGAAAATAGATCTTCGTGAAATGACAAGGCTCTGCAAAAGCCTCTTTCACCTCTCATTTTGGCCCAGTCTTATTCTTGGATCTCTCACTTGATAGTACTTCTCACAAATGTTATTTGTTTAGCATCTTCTGCAAGAACTTACGGACTGGAAATTGTTGAGGGTAAGAGTTTCTTTTTTCATTATGTTCACAGAAGAAKAGCAGCTTCCAAAAACTGTAAGTGAGAAAGGGATCAGGTTTTAATGAGCAAGTGAATCTTGAACAAAACCTCCACACTGGAATATTATTAAAGGTGCTGTCAAATACTCAATTTTTAAGAAAAGCTACTGTTAAAATTTCTTGCTCACTCACATGCTCACTCTCTCTAATACAGGTTTTAATTGTAATATCCAGTCAGTCCAAGCTTGTCTCATTACTGTCTTCTTTGTAGTGAGCTGATCGTTTCTCCCCAGTCTTCATGAGTTTCTTCCAGACTAAGCTTTTCCATGCTTTCAGTTGATTCTGTTTGTCTTCTCTAAATGAAATATATGGAACACTCTTCAAAATTCAGGATGAAGTTTTTCTTGAGTGCAAAGGGCAGATGCCTCCTCCTCTTGCTTCTAGTTCCTGGTCATATCCTGGTAAGGAGAAATTGCTATAAAGCGAAGTCTGGTTTTGCTCCTGAAACCAGATCAGAACACAGTGATGTGAAGATGCTGTGCTGCAGGCAGCCTTAACAGCTKTGAGGGACTCGAGAATCTCAAGAAAGTGAGAATGGATTTGGTAGAAATCAAATACATTCTCTATCAAGGGTAGCTTTTCTTAAAGGGGAGAGGAGCCTTAAACAAATAATGTTGTTGTAGATCATTTAAGGTAACAGTATGGTTATTCCAACAGGGGAAAATACTTCTGAATTAAATTAAACCAGTATTAGTATAGTGTAAATGGAAGAGAAGTCATGAAATGAAGCACTTAGCCTTCATGTGGTATCAAAATCTGGCTGATCTTTACAACCCCCCAGCTTTCTTTACTGCTCTGTTTATCAAGTGTCTGTCCATTTGGATTTCTGAGGATGCACCCTCGAGCTTCTCTATTTCTAGCAAGATATAGGAGGACAAGTATAAAATAATTGATATTTAAATAGCAAAATCTCTGTCAAGAGTTTTCTCTGTGGAGAATGACAACATATAAATCTGTCATTCCCTTCCAGAAGCTGTAGTCAGAATTACTGAAAGTACAGACATGATGAGATCTTTCTTCTAAGGTCGTCTCTCTCTCAGCCAGTCTGTAGGCATAGTAATTCTGTGATAAGGTTTTGGTTTCTTTCATGGAAGCCAAGTTTTTCCTGATAGCATACGGTTCTCTGTCAGCTCTTCTCATTTTTCAGTCTGACTCAAAATACACTTTGGTTTTGAAGTTGCTGTGCACCAGAAAAAAAGCCCTTGCACAAAGATTATTTTTTCATAATATTAATTATTTCTTTATGAAGGTAGTATTATTAGTTTGGAGGACTAATATGGGATAAGAAGGCTGTTTTAACCATGCCAATTTTATGTAAATGACTTTAAAAAAAACGTATTTGAAAGACAGGCATGTTATTATTGTTYAGATGGTCAGTCTGACACATATTTTAACTAAATTGTTTCCATCAAAGCTCTGAGTGACTCAACACAATCAAAGAGTGAATAAAATGGCAGGCATATCATTAACTGGCAGGCAGTTTTGCATATAAACTGAGYGAAGATCTCCAGTAGCAGGAAATGCAGAGTTACTTTTGCAGATACCTGAGCCTTTTTAAGTATAGCAATTACAAAAAGTGACTTTAATATGTCTCKATGGCAAGAATATAGCACTACCATATGTCAGAAGACAATCACATGGAAGTAAGTAGAAAGAAAGCAAGAGCCCATGAAAAAGTCTTTTTGTAAGAGTTCATAGACCTTGGATGAAGCAAGACTTCTTGCAGGAGGTCTAAAATCAGATGCAAAGATTCTTTTTTTCCSAAAGAAACTCTATCCTCTGCTTTCTGGAGAACCATTGCAGCAACTATGTTAAGGTGCAGAGCCATCAAGAACAATTAATACTGACAGAATTTCCAGTTTTTCTGCAGTCAGGTATTGGCTTTTCACATAGGTACTTTTTAACATTATATCTTGTATAGTAAGTTAAGTAAATAAATCTCAATAAGGTTTATTACTAACACTAAATAACGTTAGTCTTTCTCAGGAACAAAGACCAGGATGCATCTCCTTCCGTTGGCTGTTAATTACCAGGAAATTATCTGCTCAGCAAGAGCACAGCTGATTGAGGCAAAAGTCCCCAGCTGCAAACAAACAAGAATTAATCTGTTCTTCTCTTATTTTAGATGGCAGGTTTTGCATGTTTGTGAAACTTCATATGAAGCAAGAAAGTTGATTTCTTTTTCTATTACTTTTACTAGAGAACAAAACTCTCCGAAAATGCCCATCAGCAARAAACCACAGTAACTGAAATGATTTGGGATTTCCCCAACATTTTGGGATTCTATTATGGCCTGAGCTGATTGCAACCATTTTACTTCCTCCTAGAAGCTTSTGTTTTAAGTCATGGATACAAGAGCCCTGTGTCACTGTCTCTGCTCATCACACTGGACCACTACCTGAAGGTAAATTGCTAAATCAGTTTAGCTTTGCAGATCATGTTACCAAGAATGGCTGCAGCATATTTAAGGTATAACATGAGACAATTAAATGGACTGATAAATATTTAATACAGGTGATAAGGGAAACATATGAGCCACAAAACTAGCATCACAATCAAAGCAGTATAGAGGGATGGAATCATCTGAGGCTCACTTAACCTAAGTTGCACTTTTTTTTTCTTAACATATTCAAATAAGTTTGAATAATTTGACGACTACAACCAACTCAAAGTCCAGTTGCTTGCCTGCCAAGCAGCGTTTTTCAGAAGCATCACGGTGCACCAGTGTGGGCCTCCCCTCTGTCCTCTCTGGGCTGCTGAATGGTTTCCAGAAAGATTTAGTATGTTGGTTCGCTTTCAATGGCAAGCAATCTTCTCCTTGTGCATTGCTGCCTTTAGCACCTAAACCAAAAGGAGATTCAGATGCATCTTATCAAACAAGTATTATAAATAATACTACCATACTCCTAAAGGCACCTTTTTTTTTTTTTTTAGATAGTCCCTGAGGAAAGAATACAGGAATAGGGAGTTGGTTTGTTTTTTTTCTATTTTATTCCTGTTTTCTCTTATTTTTCATATTAACATGGAGGATTATTTTCTAGGAAACCCAGGCAACGTTTTGAGAATGATAGCGTGGGTTTATTTTAAAATAGAGATGCTTCTTCCCATTCCGGATATGGCTCCTTTTGGAAAGCCCCTTTTATTGTATTTGAATGAAATCAAAACAAATGAAGTCTGAAAGTAATGTATTTACTTAAGAATGTTCCAACCTGTATGCATTTTATTAAACACAACCTCTTAATTGCTGTTGGTTTTACTATAGACGTGTAACAGCATTGTGTGCTATAATAGCTTTTCCAAAAAGCCATCATCAAAATGAGTTCTTTCTACTTCCCTTCCTTTATACTATCTAGTTCAATGGAGAAATGAATTTAAGAACAAGAAGTTCTAAGAGCTGGGAAGCCTGGTTGCATTTTGGATGTGTGGGATGAGCGCTCTTGTCTAAGGAGCACAAGTTTCCACTGCAGCCTTTCCCTTAGTGGGGGCATTAGTAGAATCAGTCCTTTTTATCCTAATCATTTATAATTTCATGAAACTTTATAGAAATTTGCATCTTCTCGCAGATTCGGTTTAAGTTTTCTGTTAGAATAAAAAATCAGAAAATTTAACAATATTAAGTTGTTAAAAAGGATCTGGTGCATGAATGTATAAAAAATGTTCAGCATGCTAATTTTAACCTTGTTTCTTTTGCAAGACAGGCCAAATCCCCTTTGTGTCATTCCTCCTGGGAAAGTCTTCTACACATGCTTATTTATACTCATTTTTTTTATTGTTGGATGGTTCTTGTTATCAAATACATAAGCCTCAGTAGTATAACTGACAGAGGTTAAATGAGGTGTATGACAGTATATTTCTAGGCTGTAGGTTATGTTGGTTCCTGTCAACAGCAAAACAGCAACAAAAAAAAATGACAGAGCTGAGCCATTTCCCTTTTGCCATTTAAAACAATACTTCATAAATCAGGAAAATTGCCTAATGTAATGTTATGGCACCAAGTTAAGACATTTTACAGGTGATTTTTTTAATTACGTAGGAAAAAGAWGAATGTAATATTTGGACACTCAGAAGCTTAGCTGTCTCTGTACCTCAAAAGTATATTTGCCACATTCAGTTTTTATAGAAGAGAATATAGAGAATTTAGAAGTCAATAAATAAGCTGATAGACTGATGGGGGAAGTTGGACTTAAGTATGTGACAAGTACACAGTATGCGAAATATGTTTTTAATAAGATTCTGAAGAAAAAGTAAAGCAAGTTAAAAAGAAGAGGGTTATAGTTATGGGTGCAAGATACAGACATCATTCCAGGATCTGTGTGGAACACAGTCCTAGAAACTTCCCATCATTTGGTACTCTGTTGTAGTGTCAGTGAAGTGACTGTGGGCCTGTAATAAAAGGATGAATTATCCTACTTTCAGTCTTTTCTAATTTCTTCTACTTGRTGATAAGGGTGAGAGGAAGGAAAAAGACATGGGTGTGAGAACACAAATTCTCATTATTTCCCTGAGCACCTCAGAGTGTTTTTCAAAGCAGCCTGTCCTTTTTGAAGTGGCAAACTTTTACTTTTGTCAAAACTTTTAGGGCAGAGAAGAAAGATGAGTGACACTTTAAAGCAGCTAAAATCTTTCCAGGCATCAAAGCGACCAAATGTCATCTAGCATAAGAAATTAGAGAAGAGACAAGCAACAGGTGACAGCCCAAGGGACAACCGTCAGCAACAGGAATTGGGGTTGGAAGGAAAAAGACGGATTCTCAAGAGAACTCTCTGTGGGATATCTGTTTAAATGACAACACGTAAAGCCTAAACCTTGGCAGAGTTACCCCATGTGGTTGTGAGATTTCACACACTCATTCAAACAGGACTAAAATGACTGTACTGAAAAAAAATGAGTGTGTTTCTTACTGGGAACTCTCTTGAGGCTTGGCTGCTGCTCTCAGCGTAGCGAATGGCCAGGGCAGGGCTTGGAGCCATGCCTGGCCAAGGCGCTGGGGAGGTGAAGGGTTTGCCCAGGGCAGCCTATATGACTCAGGGACTCTATTTCTCTATAGCCAGTGCATTCCTCGTGTGACAACCTCAGTGCACACAGCCAACCTGCAGCAACCTGCCAGCTGCGGGACTGGTGATCCACGCCGTTTTGTTTTGTTTTTCTTTTTCTTTTTTTGGGCACATCCCCCCCTCCCCTTCCTTCCAAACTGTTTTCTCAGCTCGATTGAGACTCAAAGCTGCCACCCCCGTCCCTCGAACGGCTGGAGCGGCTCTGGAGGGTCGAGCCGGCAACCCGGAGCGAGACTGGGCCAGACCCCAGGGCTGCTCCCGAGCTCCCATCCAAGAGGAGCGGCCCAGCTCCCAGACCAGCAATGCCGGGAGCTGCGGAGAGCTGACGCGGCCGGCGCGGATGGCTGCCCGCAGTCCGGCACCGCGGCTGTGGCTCCTGCTGCTGCTGCTGCTGCAGAACACCCAGGCAGCACCCCAGGTAAGGCAGGATGCCCCTGAACCCCGGGGAGCCTTGGGAGGGCAGGGTGGCTCTGCCTGCCGGCTGGGTGCCCCAGGCAGGGGGTGTCCGCAGCTTCACGCAGACAGAGCGATGAAGGTGTGGAAGTGCCTTTGCACAGAGCGCGCGGGAGGGCTTGTCCGCACCGGGACCTCCACGGGCAGCGCCTGAGGGCAGCCTGCATGTTTTCCGTGGCTTTGCTGGTGTTGCCCCTCCAGGAACAGCTAGGAAATATTGAGAAATTTGTTGCAGGGAGAGGAGAGACAGTTCTCATTTGTTTGGGATGAGTGGCTTTTATTTTTGCCAGGGGCACCAGGTGCGGTCTCACGGACACGTTCCTTGCACAGCATAGCTCAGAGAGCTTCCTCGGTCTGTTGGGGGGTCTGGTTTGGCAAAATGAGAGGTGTAAAGGCAAACAAAACAATAAAATACTTTCCTCTTTACAACTACCCACTCTTTTGACCCTGACTTCCTCATGAATGGGCCAGGATTTCTGCTTTCAATTAACTTAAAATAGATATAGTCCCCTGCTCAGGTGATGCTGTAGGCACAAGCTAACTCCCTCCTCACATCATTTCAGTTCCTGGGGGCTTGTTCCCCCTCTCCTGGGATTCATGGAGCAGTGAGCCCTCAATGCTTGGCATAAATCCAGGTCATTCCTCCAGGTGACACTTACATACAAGTTTTAAAAACAAAGGATCAGCGTCACAGAAGCCCTTTGAGAAGGTAAAGTTAGTATCTTCTTGCATACTGGATTGGTTCCTGAAGGTGGTTTTCCTGTCAGTAGGAATGCAAGCATGGGACAGCTTGACATTCCTGCCTTCACACTGTAAGTAAATGGTATTGTGTGCCACTTGGACACGCAAAATTTTACATAGACTGGCTCTAATTTAATTAGAGCTTCGAAAATAACCATGTCCTGCATTTCCTTCACATACATTTGAAAATAATCCTCCTCAYATTTTGGTAAGAATTGGAGTTTTGCCTGGTGTCTTTGGCTGTAAATTCCCCTCCCACATTACAAGTTCGCTCTACTTTTCCCTRGTTATCTGCCCTGCCACCATCTCCTTCCTGTAGTGATTCCTCTATTCTATAGGCCTGCAGTTTCTTCTCGCTTGAGGTTTACTTAGGGGGCCACTTAAATAAGTGTATCTGGTCTGCTGTAGGCAGACTGCTTTGATGGAAAGCATTAAAAGAACAATACTTAGACAAGATAATACACGATACATTCTTAGATCTTGCTGGGATAAGTATTTTAATTCTGCTTCTGTATTGTGTCTCTCACAGCAGTCTTTGCTTTTGCTGAATATTGCAAAGCAAGAATTGGTTGTGCTTTAAACTGCATTCCTCCTTACTTCATCTGCAGTTTAGGGTTTGCTTGTTTTAATATTCAGTTAATTCTCACTTAATAATGTTTCTACTATCAAGTGGACGAAAGAAATACTTAAGGTCTTAGATTATGAGATTCTGACTTTAACAGGGTCAGAATTTTGATAGGACTTTGAAAGGGAGTCAACTGTTCTGCTACAGCATTAGTCAGTTCTAGAACAGCCAATGCTGGTAGAAGATTTTATTTTTACTGTAATGTGCTTTTTTCCCAACTTACAGCTCATTTGTAGCAAGCTAATTTCTTATTCTGCCTCACCATCACTTTTTCTCTATGAGATCAGAAGCCCATAAATGAATGAGTCAAACCTTGTCCTGACTAAATTGCAGAGTAGCTCACTGAATTCAACACCATCTTTGCCATGGCCATTACTTAAATTGGGATAGCAAATGTATTTGTAGATAAAAGAATAATGAGAAGAGCTCTAAAGAACCAATTTTTAAAAACACATTTTCAAAAAAAAAAAAAAAAAAAAAAATCCTTAAAAGCCTAAATGTCCTCTATGAAATCCATGCTCACCCTAATTAATTGGGTCTTGGTCTACAACACTTAGATAAATAAATAAATAAATAGATAAATAAATAAAGCTGATCGATCAGGGCTCTGAAAGTTTCCACTCAAGGGATCTTTGACCATCCTGTCATGGAGCACTCCCAACATTATGTGAATTGTGATCTTTTCTTTCTGAGCATGTAATCCGTTTCCTGCTGCATCAAACATCTCATTGACCACAATGAGAAAAAGTCTAACTGTGCACTAAATCCAGTTTAAAAAGCCCCTGAGGTAGATCAAAAACCAGAGCAAAATACTGACCTGATACATAAACTAATGTCCTGTTTAAATTTGTTGCAAGAGAGACAGATTAACTTTGTAGTGGCCAGTTTTCAGCTACACCAGGGTTTGTTTTCTGTACTTCTTGATAGTTCAAATCCTTATCTTTTCTCCCACAACTGGCATAAAGCAGTATTAACTCTACACTGTGTCCTCAGACCCTATCAAGATCAAATCAGTTTTGATATGGTCTATAGATGCAGCAATAATGTCTGCAAGGTTTCACATTATAGCTGTGTCAGCCAACAGAGAAGTGTCAAAGGGGAGCCCCTATTTATGGCCTCACAGCAACACCAGCTCTCAAACCCTGAATTGAGTGACTGTGCAGCCACAGGATGAGTTGTTTCACTGCAGTAACCCACAAAAAGTGCAGCTCTACAAATTCAGAAAACAGAACTTTGTCACTGATATGAGGCGAGGGTTCCTCACGCAGATTGTATGGTGTTTTGGTGAGAGGCTGGGGAAATGTGCAATATACTGCTTATGCCTCCTGGGAACACTAGCAGATGATGCAGAAACTGCCTTAAAAAGTGAAATTGTGTCAGATTTTTGCATTTCCACGACCAAAGATGCTTCCTGCTAGTGTCCCTGCTGAAGCAGGGGAGTTGGACTAGACAATCTCTAGAGATCCCTTCCAACCTCAACCATTCTGGGATTCTGTCATTCCGAGATTCGCATTTTGCGATTCAATTAGTTGGTAACAAAGAAACGACAATCAAGAGATGAAAGAAAAGCAAATACTTTGGATATCAATTAAAACAAGATCTATGATTCTATGATTTTGAGTTTACCACATTTCATTCTGTTCTCTGTAGAGATGGGGAGACAATTTGAGTTTGCTTTGTAAAGCTTTTTGGAAATGTCCTTGATGAAGCAAAGCCAGGTGCAAGTTACTGATGATGRGTATAAGCTATCCCACACTCCTCAGTGTTTCTAGACATTCAAGAAAGAGGAGGATGACATTGGGCAGAAGTGAAAGTTCTCACAAATCCTTCATGACAAAGTCAGCAGTAAGGGGCAAAAATGATGAAGGGAATGTTCTCTCACAGGCGAATTGGCAATTCCACACTATAAACAGAGAATTTTTTACCATTTTCTTCTCTGGGCTCTACAGAGACTATACACCATGGAATCAAGAAGGTAAAACCTTCCAATGCTCACAGCTGAGGCTTCTTTTCAAGAAAGTGGTAGCATTCAGGTTTTGCAATGATGAGCTGATTTTTTTTTCTGTCTTTGCATTTTCCTTTCATTTCAAGAGTTATTTATGAGCAATTAGCACTAGTTAAGTCACCTTAAACTTCAGCTTCTGCCTAGCAAAAAGACTTAAATTAATTGGTTTTGCTGTGGGCAAATTAGTTATATTAATGATAGTTAGACACTCTGCAGTCATTATAGTTAAGGTTTTTGTTTGTTTCTTCCTAAGACAGTTTAACATTTTCATTCTCATCCTAGAACATGTAAAAGAAAGGAAACCTTTGACTTAATCTCAGACTAACATAAACATTCTTTAAAATTCCACATGGCTACCAACCATTCATTCAGAAGACAGGAAACCCAGAACATACTACCTGCCACCACTGCCACTTAAAACAGGTTTACCTTAATATATATCTATGCTGGCAAGATCAATATAGCTACCGGTGATCAGAATTTTTCTCAAAATGTCCCTCATCTAAACAGATTGGTCTGTGCTGTCACCAGAATCCTACACAGCCACAGTGTAAAAAGACAACTAATTTTTCGCCTGCTTGTTTAAAACCAGCATGGGATGTCCCTGCCATGAGCTGCTTATCCAGGTTTTGGAATGGAAAGACGCCAGCAACTTGCAACGCTGTCTAGGAAGAGCTTTACAGAACAGAAACTGTAAGTCCTGAGATCCAAGCTCTGTCCTGGACTAGTCAGACAGTAAAAATTCAGCTCAAGTCATTTTGATATTTACCAGTTGAGGATCAGAGTTCTTTGTCTTCCAGATTCAGGCTGTAATAATCTACCACTATATAAAAATGACAGGTTGCCCTTGAAAACTGGCGTGGCCTTCTAGCAACCTTGATTTCTAWTAGTTCATTCGGATACGCTGCTTCCTTAATTCTGGAGAAGTCTGCAGGGGTTGTTTTGGCTAAGCCACTCAAGTATTTGTGGCTTATTATTAATCTTTGTTAGCCTTACACGTGCTTCAGAACTCAGTCCTCAATCTGCATTCTCACCAGGAAGAGACAAATATATATTAAGTATTTTGGATGGATTTGAGGGCTGCAAATGTTGCCAGATTTCTACAGTTAAAAAGGAGAAGCCAATAGCTGAGGAACAAAAAAAGAAAAAAGAAAAATCACATCACTCATCTCGCTCTATCTTCCTACTAAGATCATATATAAGACCAAGAAAAATCAAATCAAGATCAAATCAAGAAAATTMATAACATATCTTTCCAATACTTAGGCAAAGCACTGAATCAGAAAGGGAGAGGGACTGGTAAACCTAAAAGCTGTACCCTTAGTGTTTCTTTGTGAGATATTTTCTCAAAGGCAGTGTAGTCTCTCTCTGTTCCTAGCTTTGTCATCTGCCTGTTCATTTCCTTGTGCTTTTGCTTTCTGGTTTGTACAATTAGGATAATGGTCAAGAAAGAGCCTCAGAGCACTGAATAGGAACACAATGAATTTAGCTACCTATATGAGGTTGACTCCTGCTGCTTTTCAAGCATGAGAGTTTCTCGTGAGAAAATAGCTGTAAATTTTCATTGTCATGGAGATCTTGTAGGCATTTATGAAGCAGAGAACTTTTAATGAAAAAAGCTTTAATTTTGGCTATGACAAAACAAAGATTAAAGATAATGACAAAGATTAATGATCAATTTCTGTGAAATTGAATTAATGTTGTAAACACAAGATTTCTCTGGGAAGGAAACAAGAAACAGAAAACATTCCAAGTAGGAAAAAAAAAAATACCAGTGCCAGTAACAAGATTATCCAGGAAATACTTTTATGGTTCAGCCTAAGTTTTATGGACAGTAGCTTGAGAGGGCTTKCTAAGAAATGAACTCTGCCCTGTGATAAGCCATTGCAGATAACAGATGTCCAGCTCTCTCTTTTCCCTTTGAAGTAAAAGTACACGCTTGCATTAAGCTCTTTGTGAAAGGCAACATGCCCAGGTTTTAACGAAGAGGCGTCAAGGAAGGTTTGCTCTTTCTTTCCAGTTCACATAGAGATACCCAAGCAAGTTCCTCTGGCCTGTTGCAAGACACCCAGAGCAGAGCATACTGAATGTCAAATTCAAATGAGAATGTGAGTATATGGCCCCCCAGGAATATATTCCTCGGGCACCAGAGGAATATATTGGTTGGAGAGTCTTTGTGATCATTTCAAACTGGCTGAGAAGTACAGCTCAGCTGCTTTGCCCCCATTTTATTATTCTCCATAGCACCCTTTTAAGGTTTTCAGCAATCTCTTCCTCATTGGAACTACTGAGCTCTTTAAAAAAACAAAAACCCTTGCAGTCTAATGGGAGATGAGGTGCAGGAAGCATCATTTCGCATATGGTAGAGTGGTTGCACATGGTAAAGCTGAGGTAATACACACCTTCAGACGGTGAGTAAATTGCCTTGGTTCAGGCCTACTGCTACCCAATAATTATGCATGTATTTGTTCCCTCTTTACTTAATATCTTTGGTTATCACTTGCTTTAGTTCATTTATCACCCTGATATTCGTAACCCATAGACAGAAAAAAGGAAACACATTAGCCTTGTATGCCTGTCGCCCTTTCCCCCTCTCCCCAAGCACAGCTGAATCAGGTGTCTGCAGAAAATGAGCTCGCACCATCATTTTTTGAAAGATTTGCAGTCTTTTGAGAGCTTCATCCTTCACCTTTGCCCTTTCTGCAAGACATGATCTGTGCCTTTCGGCACCTATTTGCTTCARTGCCACACCAACTTTGCCAGGGCTTGGGAGTTCTTATTGAAAGCTTTCTTTCTGTTAACTTGGATGCCTGAAATCTTCAAATTCAGCTCATGAAAGATCTCACACGTTTTAGAGAAGCAGAGCCCGTACAATTTTGAGTGGCACTTGCCTTCCACCAGGGACAGCCTTGCTTATGCAATTTGTTTTGAGGTTTGAAGGCTGGAATACTAGAGGTATGGGCTTTATTTWTATTGCAGCCCTTCACATAATGCGTGCTATCTACAAATGGACTCTGCTTAGTTGAAGARGAAAACTTTGCATCGTTGCACAGCCTAGACAGGTAACAGTAGGAACCAAACAAGTTTAGATTTGGTTAAGAACTGGCAGCTGATGACTGGTGTGGAGTGTGAACTGTGCATTGTTTATTACTGAAAAGAAATGTGGTAGGTTTTGTGCTTGTGAATCGTGCCAACTGAACAGATAGCAAACTCTCAAAGCTGTTTTGTGCTTAATTATGGATTAGAAGTGGTGGGTACAGATAGCAAACTCTCAAAGATATTTTGTGCTTAACTATGGATTAGAAGTGGTGGGTTCTTCAGGGGGCTTTTTCTCATCCACAATGACTGTGCAAATGATTTTGTTAAAATGACTTTTTGGTCAGAGCATCTCGGGCTTGGCTCGATGAACAGCAACAGTGCTGCAGGGATGAGCTCTTAGCCGGGTTCTTGGAAGCTGCATTACTGTGATGTAGTGGATTTCGTGTGCTGTATTGATGGCCATGGTATCTAGCTGCCCTCTTGTGGAAAAAGAAAGAAATATCTTGGTCATTCTTATTCACGTGTATTTTCATATTTTATGCACTATTTATGCATAACTCTTGCAGTTTTATCACATCACTAGCATTAAACTAAATTTGCAATCAAGATTTGTATCCTTGAAGCGAGGAGTAGAATCTCATAGTGAATTTTAAGCATAGATATTTTAAGCAAAATCAGGTTTTAAATAGTAGTCCCTTCCTCTTACTTGTAGACAGGCACTATTCTGCTATTTAAACCTGAGAAGAGGCAATTAAATAAGATGTGAGCTTATGTTTTCCATAAATTCTTTATTCCTATCCTGATGTAAAATTCCGCCTCATTTGCATCCAGAGTTGGTTGCACAGGAGAACCAGGAACGATCAAATTTTTGTGGCAGCTTTCTGGAGATCTTACAGAGAAACTAATCCAGGATGCCCCAAATATAGCCAGGTTGCTGTCACTTCGTAACTTTTCTTTATAAAAACTCAGCAACCACGCCATGTCACTGAAGTGGCTCTGGACTGACCCATTGAGGTCTGATCTCATGAAGTCATTTCTTGTTTAATTTAACATTAGAGTGGTTGCCTAACCAGAATGCTCCTCCACACCAAGGCAAGGAGATTCCACCTTTTTCTACAGTCTAAGGCTGTCTCTCCAGAAAAGAAAAATAAAGGGGACACATTTGTAAACTTGGTGTGAGCCAGGTTGAAGGAGACATCTGCTTTTCCTCCGTACAGTAAGCTAGAAAAAAGTGCTTTGCAGCGAGGCTATGTGGCCTGGTGGTTAACGCAGAAATGTGTCAGGCAGGATTTCTTAGTTCTATTACTGGAGTTGGATTAATTTTAGTGGTTTTGGTATGTTTCTATTTCTAATCCTTTTGTTAATTTCTAATTGACTGGAAGCTTCTCTTTTCTGATGTAACTTTTGACAGGTTATTTAACTTCTGTTTTTTATACTCCCACCATGAAAAGGCCAGTATATTAAATAGTAGAATATGGTGGTGAGATTAATTGGCTGTTAAGCAAAATAAGTAAATAAGCAAAATAAGGCAGTAGGAAATCATAGCTTTTATTTCTAAGAGTAATGGGAAATTCACCTGCAGAAACCAGGATGCAGATTTGCTGAAATCTTTGTTAGCCATTCTAGCATTATCAGGCAGGAAAATCTCCGAGTAGTCTGCTGGCTCGGTCTCTCTACCAAAAGTCACCAGTTTTATCTTCTAGCAAATACTGAAAATGAAATTCAGATAACATTTTTACGGGGTTATTAAGGGAGATACCAAGTTCAAAAATCTGATTTCTACATCAGAAAACCTTTAGCACTGTAATTTCCCAGAGTATGTAATAGCCTCTGCCATACAGAGGTGCAGTCTAAGTATCTGCTTCTTGATATATTACATAGCTGAGTCTTTTTCCTAAGCTAATATTAGAGCTATTTCTTTCTTCTGTCTGGGATACGTGGACTTTCAAAAAGCTGTAGACTATCCTGTGCCATTTGCAATCATGATCACTAAAAGCAGCCTCCTGGGATCTGCCTTCATATGACAGTAAATGTTTTCTAATTGTGTCTTTGGTCTGTTCGAATCTCCAGACATCATTAATTCCACCTCATTCGTGTGACCGACTTGAGAACTGGTTCTACGACAGAACTTCACGAAGCTGTTGTTACCAGTGTCCCCCAGGTCAGTATGTTTATAGTGTAATCAAATTAACACAGGCTTTCCTTTAGAGATACTGGGAGCCATATAAATATCTGCAGATTTGCATTTTGGCCCTGAAGAAAAGTGCAATTTCATGAATTAGTCTCTGGTATGGATTCAGTTATAAATTTGGTTTTCCAGTGCCCAGTCTCTTGTTCAATCTGTATACAGAGAAGCTCTAAAATAGAATACTTCATACTCAGAAGTAACTAGAAGTAGACAGGTGTAAGGATTCATTTCAGCTTGTCTCAGAGTATGGAATAGATCAGTGAAATTATGAGGCTAAAAATACAGAAAAAGTATAGAAAGATGGTGTGGAAACTTCTGCCATAGTTTAGTTCAGAAAGGGTCTTGAATGAGAAAGAGAACAACCTCTTTTCAGGGGACAGAATAAACTTTGTCGGAAGCCAAGCCATGACTCAAAGGCACATGAGATCAGAAGCAAAAAATACTTTGTTAAGAAACGAGTCCTGGAAACGTGTGAAACTCCCCCTGTTGCCCAAAAAGCCCCTCCGTGAGTGGGGCATTTTATGGTACTTCACCACCCATTTCTTGTTCTAGAAATGTCTTCTTTTCTTTTTGAAAGGAAAATTTTGACATTATTTATGCTCTAATAATAAAGAAAGGATTGGAGCTTGATTTGCAAGCAAGAAGTTGTATCAGGACATCCTACACTCTTCCTGAGCACACCGCTAGAATTGTTCAAAGGACATTGGAGTAAACTAGACCAAGGGACAGAGAAGCTAAACTGATCCGAAGTGAAAAGGTTCTGTTCTCCTTCAAAGACACAATGACAAATGTCCTGGCAGGACAAATGTCTCTAGCAGGCATCTGATGCCCATCTAGTTGCAATGAACTACATCTCTTGAACATTTCACCTTTTGCTACGTCCTCATGTGTCAGTCCTGGACATTACTTCACATCCTCACATCCACAGGAGATCATAATAGACTTTTTCTTTCTAATCCYCCACTGCAAGCAGAAACCAGTCTATATCTGCTTTGCTTGTTTTAGCCTCTAAATCAGATATCCAGATCCATAGGACAGTGCTGCTACCAACACTCCAATAATGCCCCACCCACGGTTAACAGCAATTCCCCAAGAGTGAACAAATGCACATATTCAAAAAAGAAAAACACATATATTATGTGCTTCATTTCGGTATATTTTCTTCTATACAGTTATTGCTCAGGCTTTTATCTGTATGCTGACCTACTAAGGCCGGTGGAGGACAGCTTGAAAAGCCACTGTTAGGCAAGCCTAAAAGCTACTGAACCTGGAGCACACGTCCCTCAAAAGAGGGGTCTGTATGTGCAGGAAGTTTGTAGTTTCTGGGAGATTGGGAGGAGGGAAATGACACACATGCAGGCACACATGGGCAGTCGAGGTGCTGAGTTTCAGCCTATCACAGCAATCAGCCCTCACCTTGACAAGAACGATTTCAGACAAGTAATTTTGAGGAGGTGGAAGTGACATGTTTCAGGCTTGTCTGGTGGTATTTAGTGGGCTAAATATAGCATAGCTGTTTTTACCTGCACTCCCACACCGTGTTTGCCAAGATGCTTAGTAGACAGGTTGTTTATCCACCAGGTTTCCCCTCCCTACTGTTAACTCTTTCTGACTGGGTGAGGCAGGGTGTGTGCTGAAACGTGGGGTTTATTTTTCCCCTCTTCGCCATCTGTAACCCATTCAAGGCACACAACATTCCGTCGGAATGACCTTGATGTTACCATGTGTTACTCTAAAGGTGCAAACAATCCCATGAATGGGAAAAGCAAGAATGTGTTAGAAAAATCAAGGGACAGGTATAAAGAGAAGGCTATGGTAGCAGTAGCATGTGAAACAGGTAAATGAGTATTAACACTTTAAGTTGGCTGTCTCTTGTACTTTAGAAGGCATTTCCTCCATATTTTGGTTTTCTTTCTCCAGGCTATGTTAAAAAGAAAGCGTGTCCCACGGACCCACATCACTGCATGAGATGTGGACCTGAACAGTATCTAAACGAGGCAGCCCAGAAGCCACGATGTGATGCTTGTGTATCATGTGCAACAGGTAGTTGCTTTGCTTTCCATCACACATGCTTCACACAGTGATATCCTCACTATATTTTATTTATGCTTATATTTTGAGTATTTTCAGTACTAGAGTTGACATCCATCCTCGACTTCTGTTTTATAGAGCAGAATATTCCCTTGTGCATAATCAATGTCACTTCCTGTGACTGTCTGAAAATTCTCTCAGTCAAATGCCATCCAAGTTTAATTTCTACTTTCTGTCTTACATTAGACAACATTTATCCAGACTTCCCCCAGTATTCATGACTTAGGACTGTTCTGTATCCTGAGTCTTTGAGGTGATGTTGCTCAGCTTTGGGCCCCTCATTGCCTCTCCCTTGCAGGGTGATCCTGCAAGATCCCGTCTTACTCTCATAGTTTTTTCCATACAGAACCAGACCTTGTGGAAAAAGCCCCCTGTTCCTTCAATTCTAGCCGTGTGTGCGAGTGCCGACCAGGCCTGTTTTGCCAGACCCCTGTTCTGAACACCTGCGCGAGATGCCAGCAGCACACAACTTGCAAGCCTGGTTTTGGAGTCAAAGTCAAAGGTAGAAATTCCCCCATATAGTGATCTTGGCCCTAGGCCTCAACCTGGAACATTTGGATTGATTCTCAATTGCTTATTTTTCCTCAGGCACCTCAATGACTGATGTTTCTTGTGAAAAGTGCCCTCCTGGGACCTTCTCTGATCAGACCTCCAGCACCGACACCTGCAAGCCTCATACTGAGTAAGACCATAGTTTTTTAAAGTGACTAACTAATTACTTAAGGCTAATAAAGGACCTGAAAGGAGACCTAAAGCTAATAAAGCTGAAGGGAGACCTGTTAGCTTCTCTGGTTTGAAGTGTACAGACTTATCTGCAAGTCAATAGAAGTGCCCATGCATGGTTAGAAAGCCTCTCCTTATACCTGTTGTACAGTTTGGTGTTGAAGGAAAGTAAGGATCCTCCTTGCTTTCTTTTTAGCTTACAAGGAGATTACACACAAATGTGAATGCTGGGTTTGCACCTCAAGGAATAGTGCCATAGGGATGAGGAAAGGGTTAGTGACTTTGTCCCTAAAAACAAATAAATCCCCTTGGCACAAAAATGACCGAAGGGATGTTTGTCCCATAGGAAGTGCCTTTCTTATCTTCTGCCACGTAGTTTCCTCTAATGCTCATATACTATTCTCTTTCATCCTCTAGCTGTGCCAAGTTAAATAAAGTAGCACTGAGCAAAGGAAATGCCACCCATGATCAAGTTTGCATGGACCAAGCTCCCACTTACCTCACCTCAGGTGTTTTRTCTGCGAAATTAAGCAATAAAACAAACGGCTCTGATGTGATGATGCTTGAGAAGACGGTGACCATTGCAAGTGTAATTCTAAGTGACACAACAGCTGAGAACCCCAGTTCAACTGCTGAGGAGAAAGCTCTGGCTGTCACCTTTCCTACTTCAGATGCCAAAGGGAAGAAAACAAGAGGAGGTAACAAAGATAAAGTGTTTGCTCTGTCTAGCAGGTTTTATTTGAATATATCTTTGGGGAAAAAAAACTGTTCTCATGTGGGAGCTTCCCAAAAATCCCTGCAGCCTGTGAAATGATGTCCCACAAACACGCAGACATACTCATAGGTCCCCCTCTGTCTCTTTCTCGGCTTCTCCTGTCCATCCTTTCCCTTTCTGTGCTATAGGTGATGTTCCTTGGGGAGTGGTTCTCTCTGTGGTAGTACTACCTGTGAGTGTGCTGTTATTTTGGAAGTTGAAGGTTTGCAAGAGATGGATCCTCATCCTCAAAGGAAAGCGTGAGTTTTAAAAGCTAATAACCCATAATAACCCGTAGCATACTGTCTAATCTCCAAGTATGTGCTATATCGGAACTAAAATACCTCCTAAAATTTTAAGACATCACTGGGAAAGATAATATTTAATAGTGCCCAATGAAAGCAGGTCAGATAAGGGTTCTAGGAAAGCTATTTGTTCAGCATCTTGGAGAGCATCAGGGAAAGACTGAAGATGTTGTAAAGTTATGGAGGAGGATAATTACAAGCTGGGTGGGAAAATGTTAACCAGTGATTTCTTCTTTCAGCGCCAACACTAAATTAAACAATACCTGTGTTTTCTGAAGTCTTTTGTGAGTATTTATTGGTTCCTAGGATGGGGCTTGATGTCACTGATGTGGAGAGGAAGAGAGATTTTGCTGGTAGAAGTGCCTGTAGCTTTGCCTAAGTTACGTGTCGGGTGTACTTGCATATCCACATTCCCTCTTTCATGGAAAGCAGGATGTGCACGTGGTAGGTTGGTTGTGAGTGAGCAGGGAGACCGGCTGGTCTCACACCTAGACCTGCRGGTGTGCTAATGCTGTTATAATGCATGTACCCCCCGATGAGTTGTGCTAAACGAATGTTCTCCTTTATCAGCACATCTGTATACAGTCACGGGACACAAATCCAGGGCCAGCTCTCCAGGTGAGTGGGGATTACTCAATCAGTAATCATAACCTATCTGCCTAATGAATAAATGGCTAGTTTTACTATGAGGCATTAATTTATGAAACTTTGACATGAAAATATTCCGTCTTTTCAGTTAAATGCRTAGATCTGACATGCCAAAGGACAGTGCTATTGTCTGTCATGTGCAGTGGAGGATGGTCTGGACGTGTCAGGCCACGAGGTGGCACTTGTTTCCCATTGCATCTGCACGGTTGGGGCATGCAGCAGTGCTGGGGGGCCCCMAAAACACCCAGCTCCCTGGTTCCTTCCTGAGCATTAAAGTGGAGGGACATGTTAGCCAGAACAAACTGTGCAAATCCCCCGGAGTAAATTAATGTGCCCTGTTAACTAATCCCCTCTCAGCATTTCCACTGACTGCCCTATGCTCTTGTGTCAGATCATTCTCTAGTCGTTCATGGAAGAGGATTTAACACCTCTGGTGGCTCWGTTTTCTCCAAGTGGAATTTTGCTCTCTCACTTGCCTTGAACACTAGATCCTGTTGCTGAATGGCACTAAAAGGCTGGCACGTGGAAAATGTAGGTGGCAGCGCGTCAGAATGGAGTTAGCTGCAGGAGGCTGTTATAATCTTCCTCCCACCCTCTTCCTCCTTTCTCTACCCTTCCCTCCCTCCATCCCTGCATAAAATCCCACCTTTTAGTATTAATGTGTGCCACCTTTTAGTATTAATGTGACCACACAATGAACTGAATCAATTTGTTAATTAGTTGAATGAAAACTCTTCCTTTTTTTTTTTAGTAAGTTATTTAACTTAACTAGCAAGTGTTTTTAGTTCCTCGTGTCATTAGATGAGCCAAGGGGTGTGACGGGGGGTCACAAAGGGTTTTGGGAGAGCAGGATTTCACACTCTTGGCAGCACCATGTCACTGGTTCATCTCAGTAAGCAATCTTCATATTCCATGGTAAGGAAAGCCTAAGGTAGGTGGGTTAAGGTCTAGTTGGTTTAGGATATGACAATGACCTACCAGGGCATTTCAGTATTCTTTCAGTTGCTGTGAATTTTCTTCTGATGCTGTTTCCTCTTTAAATTACAGGTTCTGATGGAGTGAACAAATGCACAGTAAGTGTGAAAGATACTCCAAAACAGGCCCTTTTCCACTGGGGGAAAAATTATATTGTTAAAAGCCTTATTAAATAATGACAGCCTTTTAATTTGGACCTYTTACTATATCTTGTGATTCTCTAGGCATAGAAATGAGATGTTTAGGACTGGTTGCTTTTATRTCTTGGTCTTCATCATGTAGTGCCTAATGTGGTGTTAAATGTTGTGCTGCTGCCAATTTTGCTTGTGGAGTATTTGACTTTGCCCTGTGCCATTCATGTGTCATTCCAAGGGGCAGGGGCCAAACTCACAGAAAGAACGTGGCTTTTCTGCCTCTGGGAGAACTTCACCTGTCATTCTAATCACATAAGTGGGATTCAAACTCTTCTTCTGTCTCCCTCTGTGTCATCATTTTCCTCTGCAGGACTTGACACAGCCATAATACGGGCACGAGGAGGGTGTTAGGCAAAGTTTCCATCAATCAGCTGCTAGTTTAACAGTGTAGCTTGTGGGCTATAAACCACATGCTTCTTTGGAAATTATTACACACTTGCATCCAGGCTTGGAGTGTTCTGCTAAGCCAGATTTGTAAAATGGCAAATAGATGGAATTACAAAGGTACACGGGCATCTGAGCTGCAGCCAAGGCAGTGGAATTCACCAAAGTACCCACTTATGTTCAGGAACCTGGATTTAACCTGGATTTCAGTGAAAGCCAGGGCTAGAACCTGCTTAGTCGTTCTTGCAAATCTCACTGAAAACTTGTGTGTGACATTAGGCATAGAAACAGAATATAAATATGGTCTGAAGAGAAGCAGGAACGTGGTTGAAACTAATATTCCTGTATCAATTAGGCACTTTGGACAATTTTTCTCCCTATGGCAGTGGTCGTGTAAGGCACGTTATGTTATTCTGCCTGTCTCAGAAGGATTCTGTAGATTACTGCACTCCTCACAGTGTTATTTTTAAATCCCAGTTGTACTCTCTCCTTTATATTRACAGATGTTGCTGAGTCCTGACAAAGTGTCAGAAGAGGAGTTAATTGACAGGACTCTCCCTTTGGAGCTCAACAACTTGGTGTCCAGCACAGAAAAAGTGGGTAGTCCTGATCTGAGTTTGACTGATGTCACACAGAGAAATGCTCTCGACTGTCCTGTTGATTCTCAAGTGAGGGACCACACAAATAACCGAATTGGTGAGTCTTGCATTCTTTTTTAACTTCGTMTTTCCCATTTTTTAATCATGGGCATATCATATCCTTCTGAAATTATTATTAAACTGCTAAAGTATCCAAAGCCTTTGCAACATGAGTCTTGGCATGCTTATTTATTTGAATACAATGCTTTCTTATTTACATTGACTCACTCTCCCATAAGTGTGACAGAAAAGTGCTTTGTTCTTCCTCCTCTTTTTCACTCCCMAAAAAATGTTAGTTTACAGAATAAATTTGAAAATTGAAGCGTTTCATCTTGAAAATGGTGCTGTAAAACAAAAGCACACAGAATATGGAGAAGCAAAAACAGAAAATGCAGGTTTTGTTTTCCATGCCACAGACAAAAGAGATTATTTTGTTACTTTAAGTAGTCCAAAGGACAGGCTTTGACAGAAGGATGACTCCCTGTTTGGGGAGAGAATGCTCTCTGAGGAGGCGGAACGGTCCAAGGAAATGGACAAACAAATGAACAGGGTAATTCCTTAACATTCCCTATTCCTGTTTTCATCCTCTGTATATGTTACTTACAGGGAATATGAAATATTTTCTTTCCTTCTATCAGATCCTGAGCTGAATTCATAAAGGAATGGGCACAAACAGCAAAAGCTTGTATGCCAGCTTGTAAAATACTGGAACTTAGCCCAGTTGTATGGTTAAGTAGCTATTTCTTCTGTCTCAGCTTGGTGCAGGTTGTATAACTTTGAAATATACATTGTTCTGGCAATTGGAAAAGTAGCAGACACAGATCCAAGGCAAAGATTAATACTTAAAGGAAATTCAGGCTTAAAAACAATGCAGAAGATATAATTTAGCTCTGTTTTGCATGGGGAATGGACCAGGCGACCTCCAGAGTTTTCTTCCAATCTAAATCACTCTAGATTTCCATGGCTGAGGGTGCCCAAGCATGGAGGTGAGAACTCTTGTTTCCCAGAAGGTGAACTTGAAGTGCATCTATACAAAAAAGTGTGCCTTTTCCCTCGTCAGCCCATTAATTTACTTTTAAGCTATTGTATTCATTTTCTGAATTAGGTACCTCAGTCCATTGTGGAGTTATGGAGAGGAAAGGCCTCTCTCTTGGAGAAAAGGTTAACGAATAAGCTAAGAAGGATCCMAGAAGATAAAAAAGGGTTTTTTTTTYYTTTTYTTTTTTCTCATTTTTCTTTGATGAAGAAGCAAAGTCAACATGTTGAATGCTAGTTCAGCCCTGGAAAAAAAAACGTAACTGAATCTCCATTGGAAAGACCCAGTTTTCTCTGCAGGTCCTAACACCTGGTCAGTTACTCAGAATTTCTGTAGAGTGTTGATATATGTCTAAATATCTGCTTTTAATGCAGATGTTGTTGTTCCTAAAAACAGCAGAAGCATAAACCTTCAGTTCTTCAMAGCTATCCTCTTCAGATACCATTTGATAGCTTTTTAATGGACTCTTGTAAATAYTTCACCATCTTTTCTAATTCTCTTTTCTCCTGCAGTCCTAGAGCATCTGCTTCATCATCAGTGAGCTAGATCTACTTGATCTTAAACGCCTCGAATCCCCTTGACAGTGCTCAAAAACCAGTCAGAGTAGTTATAGGGTCACTTGGTGTGTTCAGTGCTTGCTTTGAGTCCAACATGAAAAGCACCTTATAAATAACCAGTGAAATAGACAACTCATAATTCCAAAATCCTTCATGGATTAGCAAATTCTATAGTGAATACAGAAGAAATTCTACAGTTTTCAAAGTGACAGGCTAGATCTRAATACCGCTGATTTAAAAAAGTAAAAAATAGGTATTGTATCAAAATTTTGTAGGAAAAGGAACCATCTCTAGAGACAGCAGTTATTTTTAACTATGCTCAGCACTTTTTTTTCCTTCCTCAGAAAACATATACATCATGAACGCCGATACTGTCATTGTGAGCACTTCCATCTCAGAAGTGTCTAGTGGCAAGAACTGTGCTGTCAGAGGCTGTGAAAGTGATATCGATGTCCAGGAAAACATGGAAGAGGAGGAGCTGGAAATCCACTACCCAGAGCAGGAGACAGAATCTTTTCCCGGGAATGATGTCCTGGTTCCTGTGGAAGAGGAGGGAAAGGAGTTTCACCACCCCACCACTGCCACTGAAAAATGATATCCCATTGATATCTTGATGTGTGAAACTGCAGAAACACCCAGTGTGAAACGATCCTGACTCTCCTCCAAGAGAGGTGAACACATACTGCTTTAAGCAATCTGAAAAATGAAACACATTCAAAGAACAAGGGCTAGAACCTATTTCATCTAACAGATGAGAGGATGGTCCAAAACAATGAGAAGCATTGGCCTTCATAGCTCACATCAAATATTTCTCTCTTTTCTTCTTTCTCAGCATCATGCTAGAAATGAGGTTGAATCCAAAAAAAAATCAGGCTTCATGGCATGCTACATCTGACTACTTCCACAAGCTGTGAAAATTCTGGCCAGAATCTGGAGTTTAGCTCAAGAACCAGGCACGTTTTTTCTATTCCAGTATCGTCARCACTTCCAATTTCAGCATGCATTATGCACCATCTGCAGTTTTTGTTTAGGTCTCAACTTTTAAATGAATGTGACAATAACTTCTGTTTTCACCAATACGAATTTAACTCTTAAATTTATGGAGCTCATATGTCTTGAGGACACATGATCAAAAGGTGCCTCACAGGCTCAGAAGACAGAAGGCAGAAGGCAAATAAAATTAACTGCAATTCATCAAAGTTTAGGCCAATCTCTGTATTTTTTGAGGTCTGATTCCTTGTTACTTCGAATCACCAGTAAAGTTGAAATCACAAATCACCATTTGTGATGAAAACCAAACTGTTCGCAACACTTAGATGTTGAACAAACTACCGACTTAGCCAAGYATGGAATTTGTAAAAAGGGAGAAAAAGGAAATCAACGGACTTTCTACAAAAAGCAAGGAACTGAAAAATAGTCACAGTAGTTATTTCCTATAACATTGTTAATTTTTGCKCATTTTAGAAGAATTGCTTTATAACCGTCTGATTTACATGTCTCTGTGCTTAAGTTTTGTGGTCAACTGGCTTGTCTTACGCAAATTCTTCGTCTTTTATGCTGCTTTTTTGGTAACTGTAAATGTAATAGTGCTGACTATGTTTTCACACAGGACAATGGAAAATGAACAAGATGACAAAGTGTGCCTTAATAGTCAAAAAATGGAACCACAAAAACAATTACTTACTTTGTAGTTTTACCTTGGGCAGACTACCATAATAACAGCTGTGCAACGTCAGTATCTTTTGTCTGAGGCAGCCACAAAGAAGATAAGAACATAAAAAACACCCTCTTTGGCCAGGCTAGTGCTCCAAGTAGCTCCATATTTTGTCTCAGACAGTGGTAGTAAGAGCTGCTATTTAGGCAGAGCACCTCGTTAATATCTGGTGTTTGTATTCCTCACACTTCTGCAGCATCAGCTGTAATTGGATTAAGTATGTTAGAGAGTTTGTCCCAACTTTTAATATTCACTTAGGAACCTCCTGCATTAATTCTCCGAATCTCCTGAATCTCTTGGTACAAYCTGCCTACACATTAGACATTTACAATTCATTGTGCAAGAAACTGTTTTTGTTTTAAACTGACCTCCTACTTATTTCAGTGAGTACCACTAATTCTTGTGTTTAACACAAAACTGGGTTGCAGTAATGTTTTGYATTCACTTTATCTACTGCTTTTATGATTCTTGGTCACATTCCCCTCATCCTCCAAACTGAGTTCCAACCTTCCTGTAAATTACATGCTCAGTTGTCTCAGCCCCTTTATTTGGTGTCTTTTAATTTCATTGTGTTCTTCTGGAGATCTGAAGAGCATAACTAGGTACTGCATTCAAAAAGAGGGTTGCCTAGGGTTTTAAGTAGTGGCAAAAGGGTAATTTCTGTTTTGTTCTCGGTGTCTTTCTTGATGACATTTACTGATTTGCTGGGTTTTTTTCATGCACACGGAGCAGATCATTTCAGAGACCTTTCACAGATAACCTTGTCAAAGACTTTTTGAAGCTAGTTGTCTACGGGCTCTCCTGTATACATTAAGCCCATCTATACAGGGGGCAGATGAAGTTCTTCAAAGGAAGAAACAAATCCAGAGAAATTTGCATTTCCTTGGAATGACAGCCCTGAAGATGAYGTGTGGGAGCTATGGGCTGCTCCTGGATGTCAGAATGGATGTCAGAGTCTCCGTCTTTCAGSATCAGCATTGCCCTGGCAGCAGCAGTTGGATGAAGGGAAAAGGGGAGCAAATGAGAACTACCATTTTTTGCTGTAGTTGCTTGTTGTGCAGCAGAAGGTGAAGTCATTGAGTATTAACACCAAGCATCAGTGCTGAGAGGAYGCAAAACTGAGCAGGATGCTCATGGGCTCCCCTTTCCTCACTTCAGTCAGGACAGCTCCTCCTTTTTTAGTGCATACAGAAACACAGGAATTTCTGATTAATTTTACAGAACCACCCATAAAAGGTTGTTCAAGGATGGTCTAATAACAGAGCKCACTGGGTGTTTCAGCCCTACACATACGTTATTCTCTGCAGCTTCCTCCACGAATCCTGGGCGACTGGATTGCGATACCACACTGGCAAGCTTGGAATTTAAAATTTGAGCAGATTTTACCGCCAAGCGGMCCTTTCCTCGCTCCACACGCAGATGTTCCGCTCGCGGCGCGCGGCAGCTCCCCAGAGGAGCGAGGCGGGGCCGCCCGCCCAGCTCCGCTCCGCCCCGC